CCACAGTCACAGTCACAGTCACAGTCACAGTTACAGTCACAGTCACAGCAAACACTACTACAGATACCACAAATACAGATGCAAGTGCCACTGGAATCACCTCGAAATGTCCGGTTCAACTCGATGAGCATGACATACTCGGTGCCGCCCTCGCCAAACACCTCATCGCCACCCTCACCCATCCTGCGTCATCATCAAAGCCTGTCAATACATCCGACCAACATTAACATCAACACGCCCTCACCCATCACTTCATCAACATCACCATCATCTGTAACATTAAAATCGTCCAACAACAGTGTAACACCGCCATACATCGTCGGCAACTCGAGCCCACTCGAGGGCAGCTCGCCGTCACAGACGCCACCCCTGTCGGCACAGGACCAGATGCCATCGTCGGCCTACTATCCCAACCCGCATCACATATCCATCTCGATCTTGGACAAGGAGTCTCGCCTGAGCACTGGCTCCGACAGCTTCAATGCGTTCCCAGGCGAGCTCACCTCTAGCGGGTACATCAACAAGCGATCCAGTCTGTTCCTCAGCGTCCCACCCACGGCCACTGAGGGCGGCGTGGACAAGACTTCGACCAAGAAGGAACCAGAGATTCCACTGTATGAGCGCATAATGATGCGCCTGTCTACGCTGGTCGAGTCGTGGCCATGGCTCGTGCTCATGGTGCTGTCCATCCTCTTTATTATATTCATCGACGACGCTATTGGTGCGGCGGGCTCGCTACGCACCGACGCACTTGACTACACAGTCCTGGCGCTGCGCATAATCATCCTAATCTTCTTCACATTCGATGTGGTGGCCAGCATCATCGTCTATGGCAGCCACTACTACAGCTCGCTACCGCTACTCTTCTTGGACATTGTGTCGATACTCTCGATCCTGCCCAGCATCGTGTGCTTCTTCCTGGAGGAGCCACTGCCGTGGAAGCTACAGGTGTTGGTCATTGGCCAGTACGGCCGTATCATCCGTTTGTGCGGATCCTTCATTCGCGTCTCCCTGATATCCACGCTCCACAGACGACTGTGGCGCAATCGCAGGACAAGCAGCCAGGACAACCTCCAGGTGGAGGCCAGTAAACTGGGCGACAAGCTGATGTTGGTCACTTTGAACAAGATAGTGCTGCTAGTGCTTCTGGTGTACTTTGCCACGCAGCTGTTGACCTATCATCCAACTGGAAACAAGGCCATCGAGACCAATCTTGCGAACCTACAATATCAACAGATGAACCTGGAACCATACCAATTTGCAGCGTCCGTACAGAACATATTGGCAACCAACAGCGAGATCCTAAAGTTGGTCATCTCAGGCCAAACATGGTTGAACAACAAGTCAGCAATCAACCATCTACAATATGGCGCAGTCCTAGAGTACACCTATCAATCAACATCAATGATCCTGGACAACTCGGTATGTAGTCCATCCTTCCCTCGACCTCACTTGCTCACTCACTGACTCATTCAATCAATCAATCAAACATTACAGGATGCCATCAGATCATCCAGCATATACCATCTGTGTCTGACAATCTTTGTCATTGTAATACTAATTATAGTCAACTTGATGATCATGCGCGACAGTTACAATCTGATCATTTATCCATTGGAGAATGTGATGGCAATCGTCAAGACTCTGTCCAAACAGAATGCTGCCATACTAAAGAAGTCAGAGTCATTGGAGAATGCCACGGTTGCTGTCAAGGAGCCACATGGCAATAAGAATCATCACTCTGGACTGGACGATGGGTCAGATGAAACTGGATTCCTCATTGGTATGCTTAGCGAGATTGATGGCTCACTTCAAGCGGCTAAAGAGAAGGTCGAAGAGGAGTCCAACCAGAACTCCAAGCTCAAGAGCGAGATTGAGGACCTGAACGCCGAGAAGTATATACTTCAGATTCACTTGGATGTATGTAACATCTTCACTCAGCTAGCTGAGGAGCATCGCCAGACCAGCATAATACTCATACACGACCTCCACCCACACTAGTCTGTTCTGCGAAGGATAGAGTTTGAGGACACTGTTGGAAAGCTGTTGAAGAAGAATATGGACTTGCTGGCGATCAATGCCAAGCCATTACCAGATGGAGTCAATGGAGATGATATCAAGTTCAAGACAGAGGACAACAATCCAGACAAGTTCATTGTTTTGGCTGGCTCGTTGGACAAGCTGATCGATCGCCTGACCATCATCAACAACCATGACATGAAGTTTGCCAACGTCCTACTCATGACCTATAGACGATTCATCTCGCCTGTCGAGCTGATGGAGCGTCTGATCATTCGCTTCTGTGTCACACCCGCGCTGGCACTGTCGCCCACCTTTTTGCAGATGGACGAGTACGTCTCGGACTGGCGCAGGACCAAGCAGGAGCAGTCGCGTCTCAGCGTGTTCAACGTTATCAAGCTGTGGATTGGCAAGTTCTACTGGGACTTCAACGATCCCAAGATGATTGAGTTGCTTAACTTTTTACTCAAGACCATCATGCCCTCGTTCAAAATGGATCGCTATGCTTCGCACCTCGAGACAGTGTTCCGTCGCAAGCAAGACGGCTACGTGCCACTTCGCGAGTACATCCCACCACCCATGCTCACACAGGAGGAGGTGGCCCAGATGATGGTCGTGGACGACCGCGTGCTCTTCAACTTTGACATCAACGACATTGCCATCCAGATCACGCTCATTGAGTTTGAGCAGTTCAAATGCATCCGCCCACACGAGCTGCTGGACCTGGCGTGGACAAAGGCAAAGACCAAGTACAAGACATCGCCCAGCATCTGCCGCTTCACCGAGCACTTTAACAACTTTAGCTTCTGGATCCAGATGCAGGTGGTCAAGCACGGCAAGGTCAAGGAGCGTGTGTCTGCACTCAAGCGCATCATCGCGTTGGGCGAGTGCTTTGTCAATCTGAACAACTTCTATGGCGCGATGGGCGTGCTGGCATCGCTCGAGTCGGCAGCCGTCTCACGTCTCCAGAAGACATGGGATCAGCTGCCCGAGGCCTCAGTCGAATCATACCGCGCACTCCAGGCATTGCTGTCGCCCAATGGCAGCTACAAAGTGTACAGAGAGCGTCTGAACCAGACGTCATCGGCGTGCATCCCATACCTGGGCGTCTATCTCACCGACATTACATTCATCTACGAGGGCAACCCCGACCACAAGGACGGTCTGATCAACTTCACCAAGTTGCGCGAGATCACCACGACCATCCTGTCCATCCTCCAGTTCCAAAACACGCTGGAGTACTACTATGAGCCCAACGAGAAGATCCGCTCGCAGCTGGACTTGCGCGCACCCAACTCAGACACCATCTACAAGATGAGTCTGACAGCAGAGCCAAGGAGAGCTTAATAAATGTTGTTCTTGTTCATATATAAGTATGTTGTTATTACAAGTATCTATCTATCTACGAAAGGATTGGTGAATCGATGACTGCAAAGCCAGCAGCAACACCACCTTCATCGCTTGATGCTGTCTTTGTCCTTAGCAATATTCCTCCTTCTTCGTTCATAACGACCTTGTCTCCATTCCTACGATTGGTTGAATGAGTGAGTGAGTTAGTGAAAGAATGAATGGACGAGTGACTGGATCTTGGGCCAAGCTTACCCAATGTATAGTCCAAAGATTCCAAGCTCGTAGAGTGCCTCAATCTCGTGCAACTCACGCTCACGGATGATGAGTGTCTTGAATGGTCTTGGCTGGATGCGATCCATGAGGATGAATGATGAAAGTTCGTCAGGTGACATTGACTGAAGGGATGTGCGAACTTGGTCGTTGTATATGTTGTTGCCACCGCCCTCGCGCTGTGGCTTCATGACAAACAGCTCTGGGTGCTGGATGGCGCGCTCAACCACTGCTGGATCGATGTCCTCCTTGGACAAACTGTACAGGCCAGTGAATGATTGACGCATGCGCTTCACGGACTCTTGATCCTGCAACAGCTGCTCGAGCAGCTGTGGCTTGGCAATCGCCTGCTGGATCTTCTTGGCGCCGACCAAGTGGTTGGCAATCGATGGACACTTGATCGACAACGATCGCTCAATAACCAGACGAGCATCCCACTCAGCCTGAGTCGGATAGTCGGCGGGTGTGTAGCCGGCTCTAAAGTAGGATATGGCCACCTCGTGACCATCGATCAGCAATGCTCCAGTGTCTGCGCTGAGGCTGCCGCGCTCATGCACCTCTTGAAGCGTCCTCCTGATCATCTTGACCTTGTGTCTGTTCCAGAGATTGTACTCAATGATCTTCTGGTCCCAAATGTTCCTCTCGCCCTTCTGCACGATCATCATGGCGACAGCCTTGTCATTGTTGTACAACTTGAATGCTTCGGCGATGGCTCTGGCAATGTTGACAGCAGTGTCGTTGACAGGCAGCTTGTCCAGAGGATACTGTTTCTCGAGCTGATTGTTGCTGATGAGGTACTTGTGCAGCTCGGACACCTTTGACGAGAGACTGCCAAACGATGACGAGATGGTGTTGAGTTCGACCTGATAGAATCTCCATTCTCCGCTGTCCTCTGTTGAGTCGCCTGGTTGATGCAACATGTAATCCGATCTAAACAGTCCTAATTCAATCTGTTGTCTAACGCCCTCTGCATTGACCTTTCTGTGAATGTCCAACAATAATTGAGTAAATGTATCTTGTACACTTGATTGATTGTGTGATTTAGTGAGTCGAGGGAGGTTAGTCAGTCAATGCTCAATGATGCCACAGCATTCATTCATTCATAGCTTACTTCTTCAATGTATCTTGGATGAAGTTGTAGTTGCGACTTAGGTGGTGTACGAGCAGGTTGTAGTCTGTGGCCAATGACTTGGCTTGGTGGAATAGTTGATCAGGGAAACGATTGGGCAATAGTGATATTGGAAGATGTGTGACGATTGGATAGGCAATTGCATCGCTCTCGGCCTGTGTCTTCTTCTTCTCAAAGACTAAAGAGTGGCCGAATGCCCAATCTATAGCCTGTTCAGCAATCTCCTTTATATTGCCAATTGATTGATAAGCTGTTGTTGTAACAGTTGTAGTTTTTGTCATTGTGATCAAGATTATGTATAGTTATGTATTTGTATTATATGTATAAGTATAAGTAATAATAATATTAACAAGGTGTGTTTGAAGAATGACAAGATGAAGATTCTTGACCAAGTGTGGTCAAATCGAATCGTTTTCAAGATTCTTTGGAAGGTGCTTCTGTTTTGGTGATCTTTGGGTTCCCAATGGATGATCAAGGGAACAATGACCATTATTTAAATATTTAATTTATTTTTTTATTGTTCTTTGAATAATTGATTGATGATTAATTAATTGATTGATTGATTGAGAGATGATTTCCAGTGTTGGATTGAATTTTTGTGGATTAGTTTGTTACCAACTTGGGTGGTGTAGCAGGAGGTGATTGATAGTGAGAACTCAACCCTTGAAATATACTAGATAGAGACACTGTGGAAGTAGCAGTAGTAGTAGTAGTAGTAGGGACAGGTGATTTTTGAGTGCTATCCAATGAATTGGTTATTGGTAGCGGTGATTTGGCTTGTTCAATGGTAGTAGTAGTACCATTGCTCGAGGTAGGAGGAGGAGGTTTGTACTTTTGAATACCTCTTGATCCATTAACCAAGTACATCACTCCCTTGATAATCCTAATATGGTCAAAGGTAAAGAATACTTGGTGGCTTATGATGGTGGACCTCTTTGTTATCATTGATATTCTGATAAAAAATAATGGATAGGTTAACATGAGGTAGAGATCTCCAGTGAGGCTGTCAAAGCATGATTTGCTATTTAGGATACTCGTGTCAATCATGAATTGGTCGGTGATGTCTTCAGATGACTTTGCAAAGGGATTGAATATGACGATACGTCCATTGACCACCACATGGATCTTCCCAAGATGGATAAAAGTGCAAGTTGGGATACCTTTAGACAGTTCATCAATGTCACCAATATGATCACATTCCTTGGTGATGACATTGAGCCTGTCAACCCTTGTAAGATACTTCTCTTCCATTTGGCCACCAATTATGTAAATGTAGTTGTTGGGAACGTCTTGTAGAACAGAGATATTCATTCCACCTTCAAGAACGGTCTGTGTCCATGAAGGGAACTTCCTTGTACGTGAGAAGATGTAATATTGCAAATACATCCTGGATTTGGATAGTCCTGATTCTCCAAAGACATAGTGATCATCACCAACTGAGCATGATTGAAAGATGGGACCCTTCACCTGAGTAAATGGCGTCCTCTCGAGTTCAACAATACTTCCATTATTGGTATCATACAATAATGGCAATCCCCTATTATCCACCATGAAGATTTGAGTATCCTTTGATAAACTCTGAGGACACACGGAGACATTGTTCTTGACAACCTCCATCAATGACACACTATCAGAATTGAGAATGAGATGCTCAGGTTGATTGAGGGTATCCTTGGTCTTGACTAGATACTGCTGTAGCTTCTTGAGACGACTTGTTTCTTCTTTGGATCCGCTTGTATGGTTGGCAGAGTCTTTGATTCCCTCCATGAATGACCCAAATGATACAACCTTGTTGACCAATTTGATTAAGTCGACAGCAGTCATGTCCACAATACAATGCTCCACTCCATCACAATGGTCGAGGAGACTCAAAGTAGAGTTGAGATCTTTGATGACCTTCTCCACAGTTGATTCACCATCCTTGATACTTTTGATTAATGGCTGCTTCAACTTCTCTTCTTCCTTGTTAAGCTGTGTGTGCAACTCCTGGAAGACCTGACTAAGTTGGCTGACACTGTCGGTATGTGACTTGTGGACAGTGGACAAGGACTTGAGGATCGTCCACAATGTTTGAATATGATCTCTTTCCTTCACATAGATTGGAGTAGACTTGTTGGACAATGATGCCTCTGTCGCTAGCTTATGACCCAAGTGGTCCAATGTCACACACTCTTGACATACCAACTCCTTGTCATCCAGACACAGAAACATCTGTTTCAGATTATGTTTAACACAATGTTCACTGACCACCTCAATCTTAACCTCCTCGGCTTTATCACTTTTGGTACTCTCAATCATTCTTTCTTCTATTATAATATGACTAAATATATATAACAATGTTAAAGTATATTTAATGATTGAATGATTGAAGAATGATGGAGGAGGAATTAAACTTTAATGTTCATTTGGATATTCTATCCATTACACAGATTTGTACAACATATTATCCACGGAAACAGAGGCCCATTTTTGTGATCAACCAAGATTTGGTCCCAGCAAAATAGTGAGATCTGGATCTCAAATTGGGTTTGATTGTTTTGATCATCCAACCACTTGCAAAATCAAGTTGGCCAAATGGTTAACTGATCATTCACTCCGCCTCCAGCGCACAGTACGAAACTGCATCACTCACCTACTTCGCGATCAATGTGAAGGGCAATTTGGGACTGATTGATTGATTGGAAACTCAAGTGATCACTGGCAACCAAACAAATGGTGAACAATATTATTCTATCATTCAATCATAGTATTAATCAATGAAACTATCAATAATAACTTTCATGAACGTTATCAACGAGTTGGTTTGATCCTTGTAGTAGTAGGAAAGAGTAAACAACATAGATATATTTTTATTTCTTCTTGATTATTTTTTGGCTTGCCCAAAGAGGTCAGGCCTAACATTGTCAAACAAAGACATTGGTTTTCCATTTCCGTTAATTTGTCGACCGTTGTTAAACAAAGTTGTAGGTGCTCCAAAGGATGTAGTCTCTGGCGGATTTCCAAAGATTGAGTCCCTGGTCCATTTGCCAAAGATAACATCATACTTCTGGACAAACATATTATCATTCGATGTCAAGTATATACATTGGCAATAGATTGTAATGTTGTCAGTTCTCCATGGTAAGAGGATTGTTGGTACAGTTGTAACTATTGTCAGAACTTTGGTCTCCATTGACAATCTGAGTAATATTTCCGAATTGTCCACACCTATTAAAAGATAGAGACATTCTTGGTATGCATTAAAAATCGCTTTTCCTAACAATTGATTGTAGCTAACATTGAATCTGTTGGTGACGTCACCTCTGTTTGTTGACTAGATCATACTCAAAGATGCGTCCAGAGAACACCACAACCAATAGGTCGTTGTAGATGAATGCTACCAACGCGTTCGAAAGTGTTGTTGCTTATATCGAACTTATCAATTCTGGTCAGGTGTCCAGAGAGCGTTCTGCCTCCAATGAGATAGATATAAAAACCAGCGATCGGGAATAATACTGATATTGATTAAGTGATGATTTAAACTCTCAAATAATGATGGTACTCTTCATATGTATGATTGTAGGTGTGGATAATGAAGATTAGGATGGGGTGTACTCGAATACAGTCTTGAATATTCTCATGAAGCGGGGGTATTCTTTCCACTCAATTCATCTCTCAACATTGGTAGAGTAGAGTTGTATATCGAGATATATATATTAATTAATACAAATATATAAATAGATTTGAAAATGATAAGTACATCTTATAACGACTATTTATCTTCAGCAATGGATAAACCAATCAAATATTAATTTTAAATAAATTAATAATCAATCAATAAAATTAAAATAAAATCCATTCCAGGGTATTAACTAAGTTTGTATTTTATTAAAAGTATTTAATTTAGATAAGAATTAATTATTGGCCAAAAGCATCAGTAAGTTGAAACAAAGAAGTGGTTGCTCCAAAGCCATTTTGAAGGGGAGGGAGAGGGGGATTGCCAAAGACATTGTCCTTGGTCCAAATGCCAATGGAGGTACTATACTTCTGGACATTCTTTGTTTGGTTGGAAGTCAAGAAAATATTTGGATATATAAAGGACATTGTTTCAGTCCTCCAAAAATGAGGAAACGTTGCTGGTACAGATGTCAAGATGACCAATTGTTTGGTCTCCATAGACAACTTGAGAAGTACCTCACAGTGGTCCATTTGTACCAAGAGATAGAGTGTTTCTGAGTATCTATTATAACAAGCCTTGCCTTGAAGATGATTGGAATCTACATTGAATCTGCTTGATACATCTAAACTCTGATTGTTGGCAAAGTCATATTCAATGATTCGTCCATTCGATACCAAATAAAGAAGATCTTTGTAGATGAATGAGCAGATTGGAGTGCTTCCGCCAATCTCGGGAATGTAACCTAGTCGTTCGAAGGTGTTGGTTGGTATATTGAACTTGTCTATCCTTGTCAAGTATCCTGCCGCCACTCTTCCACCAATGAGATAGATATTTGAATAGTCCTTGAAATTGTAAAGTACTGATATTCTCTCTCCTCCTTCTCCAGTGGTGATGTCTCCTTGGTGGGTGTAAGTTCCTATATAATTTGAGAAACAAGAGTAGGTCTTGGAAGATATAGAGCCACCGAATATATAGATCCGACCACCACAGTCAGCAAATGAATCTCTTGTGTAGAGCCTTGGCTCGGAGTCCTCTACAGAGTATTTTCTCCAACCACCTTTCTCTGTGTCAAATGTTGACATGTATCCATCAGAATTGATTCTATAAAGATATTTGTCTGGCATCTTGAAGTCGTCGGGGATAGGATCAATTGATACTCCTTGTTGAACAAGTTGGGAAACATTATTCATCAACTGACTCTGGTCGAATTTGAAACCAAACTTGTCTGGCTGTTCATATTTGGGACGATGATTCTCTTCGTAGTTCATAAGATGATGTTGGAACAGATAGAGCCGAATCTCTGGTTCATTTGGATCTTGATACACTCTATCAGTTTCCTCCACTTTGGAATTCTTGATCAAATTGTCCAAAGAGTCGGATGAGTGGATGGCAGTGACCAAAAATTCAATTGAGTTGCTTGGTATCTGAGGTAGTGGTTCCCCAGTACCATTGGGAGCCGACTTCGATTCCGTTACACACTCCTCGCTATCATCTTCCTCTAAACTCTCTGTTGCCTCTTTTTCATCAACAACAATCTTAACTTTATCCTCATCCTCCTTCACTTCAGATTCTTGATGTATGAAAGATTCCCACCAACACGAGTTGGTATCGCTCTGGTTGGGGAGGCCAACTAGTAGGAGTAGGGAGTTGACTTCCTTTATGGCCTTCTCCAGTGTTGCCTCTGTTGCTTCAATGTTGGTAGTGAGTGGCTTAATCAGCTTGTGCTCCTCGAGAGTCAGAGCTTCATGTAGATTATGGAATAGCTGGTGTATGACCTTCTCTTGATCGGTGAATTCGTGATGGGCCTTTGCCAGACCCTTCATTGTTGTCCAAACATAATTCAAACGTTTGGTGTGCTCCACCACAATAGGTGCTTCTTTGTTGGCCATGTAATCAGAGTTGGCAATCTTGTGTCCAAAGTGTTTGGAAGATACACAACCTGAACATATCATATCATTGTCATCCAGACACAGGAACTGTAGTTTCTTGTCATGTTTATTACAACGACCAAAGGCCTTTCCAACATCCTTCACTTCTTTCTCATCCTTCTTCTCCTTCACCATCTCCTTATTGGTAGTAGTAATAGTTGCACCAAACATTCTTACTATTGATTGATATTCTATGTGATAGTTGTGATTATTGAGTATGATTAATGATCACTATCATAACGAAGATGTGTTATTGCATAACATTATCAGATTGGTGACGATCATCCATTCATTCATTCATTATCAAGATCCGGCTGGGGTTGTTCCAACAATCACACACACATCTTACAAAACGAGTGTGTGTATCAATCACCTGGCGGAACACTATCAAACTAAACATACAAGATGTATCATGAATATGGTCAAGCGATATGTTTATCTTCGCTGTGCCTGTAGTTGTGGAGGGAGTGGCAGTGGCGGATTAACAACTTGTGGCAGCACCTGGTTGTTGTTGTTGTTGTTGTTGCCAAAGACAAACACTGCTGGTGGTTTGGCCGGTGCTGGTTGTGCTGGCGCAGCAATTGGCACAGCTCCACCAGCAGCTCCAACACCTCCAAATATGTTGAGGGGCTGTCTAGAATTGTCCATCAGTGTTGTCCATGTATCCTGTGCAATGTTGTATCTCATCACTGTATTGGTCGCCGGTGTATACAGATACAATGCATCGTTGATGATCGCCACCGAGTGCGTCTTCCACACCACCTTGTCGAGCAGTGGCAGCTGCGCCAGACATGTGAACCTCTTGGTGTTCAACGAGAGCTTGATAAAGACCTTGAGGTTGTCGAGCAAGTAGATGTGGCCGAGGCCGTCGTAGCACACGCGGCTCGACAGATGGATCGTGTCCAGGTGGAACTGAGGTGTTATGTCCACGCACTGTCGATTGAACATGTCATAGGTGAGGATGCGACCCGTGCAGACAATGTAAAGCAGGTCATTGAACAAGAATGTGCACGTAGGTGTGCCAGTGCCCAGCTCCTCGATGCTGCCAATCCTGTCAAACACCTTGGTGTGTACATTGAGTCGGTCGATGCGCTTGAGGTATCCACCGCCGCCGCCGCCAACAATGTCGGCAGCAGGTGAGCGTCCTCCAACCAAGTAGATGTAGTTGGAGCCATCGTAGCACACAGCCGCGCTGTTTCCTCCGTCGCCAGTGGTGACCTCAGCGTGGTCATCGTATATCTTGTTGTTGAGCGAGTAGCGCGAGTACGTCTTGGTCAGTCCTGAATCGCCAAAAACGTATATATAGTCTCCGACGCGAATGAGTGAGCTTGAGGTCTGTGAGCGCATCTCAATGTCCTTGGCCGTGTGCTGTGTCCATGTTGCGGTGCCAGTGTGGAAGGTGCTGAGCTGGCCAAGCGCATTAAGCATGTAGAGCAACGATGACTGTGGCTTCAGAGGCTCGGCCCTCAGTGTGCGATCAGTTGTCATGTCAAAGCCTAGATTGATCGTCTTTGTAATGTCGCTCTTCAGCCTGTCCGACTGGAACTTGATCGAGAGGAAGTCGGGCAGCGAGTAGCTGACGTTGTTGAACGAGACCAAGTGATGTCTGAACTGCCCCAGCAGGTTGTCCTGGTCGCCAACCACAACGTCCTCCTGGATGGGCGACTGATTGGCCGTGACGAATGCCTCGATTGTGCCCGAGGACTTGATCGACGCGATCAATGGGGCCATGGCCGTGACGCTCACCTGCTGCAGTCCATGCTGTTGCGCGGCTGCCTCTTGATTGTTGGCGGGGTTGTTCACGCCGCCAATGAGCACAAGTATCGAGTTGACCTCTTTGATGATGTTCTCGATGGTCGACTCGGCCTCTTGACGCTTGGATACGAATGGCTTCTTCAACTTGTGCTCTTCGATCGTTAGCATTGCGTGTAGCTCGTGGAAGACCTGCTGAACACGACTCTCATTGTCGACCAATGACTCGTGCACCTCGCCCAGATCCTTTAGCATGCGCCACAGTGCATGGAGACGATCCCTATGCTCTGCCACTATCGGTGTGGCCTTGTTTAACAACGATGCTGCATTAACAAACTTGTGAGCAAAGTGTTCTGTCGTCACGCAGTCTGAACAAATCAAAGTTCTATCATTCGTGCACAAGAACTTCAACTTCTTATTATGTTGTGGGCATTTGTCAACCATCTGTTCATCAGTATTGACATGTTTGTTATCCACCTCCATGTATGTATATTATATGTATCTTTATCTTTATCTCTATGTATGTGAGTGATCTAGGAATGAATGATAGAATGAATGAATGAAAAGGGAGGGAAGTTCTTCAAATCTTCAAAAACTTCAAATTTGTGTTAATTCCAAAAGTGTGGCATGTACTTTGTGGGATTGACCCACCATTCACTTTCATTTCGAGATCGAACTTATACATGTACAGATAATAATAAATACTTAAAGACATACACATACATATACACATAGAATGAACAATAATAGTAATGATACACCACCTACTGTCACAGTGACATCGACTACATCACCAACAGCTACAGCAACAACGACAGTATCATCGACCAATGCAGTGATGGCAGATGATAATATAAGTGAACATTCATTGGCATCAGAGTTTCTTACGACCAACTTGAACCCACCATTCAATAAGAAGGGTTCAATAGAGATATATAGAGACTGCTTCTACGCCAAGCTAACACACGGTCTTACCGCCTACCAATTGTTTGAGCCGGCCGTGTCAGAGTCGGACCCTTCACAACTCGAACCACGTCTAATCCGCAACTTCAAACAAAAGACCTCACCAAAGAAGACCAAACTCGTACTCTACATGCATGGCATGTACTGGTGGGGCTTCACCTTCCACAGACTAGTTCAGCCACTCATTCAAAAGGGATACACAGTTCTATTGTTTGGTATGTGGTCGTCAGTCATGGTGCAGTCAATCAATCAATCAACTATCTAACATGACTCAATGTGCGTACAGACTTTTATGGAAGAGGCAGGAGCGACTCGCCAGACATACCTTATACTTTGGACACATATTTGGGACAGGCTATTGATTTGATTGATTATCTATCGGTGGAGAGAGTATATTTGATTGGATATTCTATGGGTGGCGCAGTTGCCACTCACTTTGCTGCTACACATCCACAACGTATCATTCGTCTATGTCTAATGGGTCCAGCTATCATCCCCGTCAGCATACCACTAGTCGCCAAACTGATAACAATGCCATATCTTGGAAAGTTCCTTTTCAAACTGGCTGGTGCTAGCCAACTCATTCGCTCGGTCGAGAAGTAAGTCACACCTGGTGGGACATGACATGACCTGGCACGACTGACCCTGACACTCAATCGTCCAACCATGACACACATTCAACCAAACAATCAAACAATAGTGATAGATTCAAGAATGACGTTACTGATCCAGAAAAGATTGATCCAAACATCATTGATGACATGATCGAAAAGGTCAAGTGGCAGGTACTTGAAAAGCCAGGCTTCCTTGATTCCTTCCACAGCACACTGTACAACAACAACTTTGCAAATGGGCATCTCCATTTGCTGCCAAACATACCCGCGAACCTACCCATTACCGTCATTCTTGTAAGTGTCTCTCCATCTTTGTGTCGTGCATGACTCCCCAATCATTCAACCGACATATTAATTAATGAGCCCACAACTGACAACATACATACCTGATCACATGCATACATACATCACATACATCATACATCTAGGGCTCCAACGATGTTGTAATACCTATCACTAGTGCCAAGTCGGCGATCAAACATCATCTGCCGCAGGCCACCATTGTCACTATTGAGAGTGGGCACGCCTTCCAAGTGGAAGCCCCACAACTACTGAAGGCAGCACTCATCGATGAGTATCTCAAAGAGTCAGCTGTATGAGAGAACTCTCTCACGAACATATTAAACATTTTGGTATCAATCAATCAGGTGATATCAATAGATCGATATACATAGCCGTCATGACGGCAGGTAATGATAATGATTTGGCGCCAAAATATTGATATTTGACGATGATCACACGATTCGCAATGATCAGGAATGAAGCACAGACTCTACCCCCATCCGATCGCGCATGTCGAACAACCTCGCGTTATATCTCAACGGCATGAACATGACAATCATGGACATCGAGATCAATGATTGCCTCACCCAGTGGCGTGTCTATTATTACATCGGTGGCAGGTTAGGCTGTTCAAGTAAGCACCCATCCCATTTGCCTTACTAGGTTCATGACGGTCAGTGTGTGTGGCCCTTCCCAACTTTGTTCTTGCCTTGACCCGTCGCCAATGATGGCCTACCCTATTTACACACCCTCACTCACACTCACTAACTCAATCAATCGACCAATCAACAACCTTCGTGCCTTCACTTGCCTGACATGTGTTGCTGTTGCAAAGGTGCTGATGTCAATGTTAACAGCACAGCTGGTACTAAAGATATATGATGGTGATGTGTTTGCCTGTCTCCCCCAAGCCCTTAAACTCCCCCTTAACTACCAAACAACCAAGAATACCCGTATTCCATTCTTAACTTGTTATAGGCATAGCAATATTGGCTAGGTCATCATCTCATCAAGTGATCATTCCATTCCATTCCAACATCCAACCTACATTCACACACAGATATATACACTACTTATTACTTAATCAATCAATCAAACACATGTACATATAATCAGACACCAGTTGACAGACATAGCCAGACCAACATTACACCTACCCTCCGCCTCCTATCCCCATTTTCACTCTTCTTTTCTTGTAAATACTACTACTATTCCCTTATACCCCGACCCGACAGACCAATCACAACAGACCAACTACAACTACAATCACCGAACCTTGATGTAAGTTACAACAACATACTACCATACTACATATATCACATATGGATGACCTTGAACATGCTACCGGTTTGCAAACTTCCCGCGCYTTTTCATCAACCACACTTCAACACATCCCAACCATCTTCATTGATTGATCAATCAAACTGTGTGTGTGAGTGTGCTTGTGTGAAGTGAGTGCCATTGGCACCAGCATCCTTCCTCTTTCGCCCAGCGTAGCCACACTAACTTCTGCTGCGACTTGTGTGCATTGTGTGAAGTGGAGATGATGGAGGATGAGGTATATGGCTGCGAATGGGTCTATCATTCTTCATTTGTACCCCGCCCCGATCCCAACACAGAAGTTGGAATTGACTACTCTTGCTTCTGTATCCAAATGTAGGATGGCCCACCCTCATTATATATATATTACCAATAGGTGTTTGTATATATATCCACACACATCGTCGATTGATTGATTAATTGTTTGTTTGTTTGGTGTTGTTGGGCAATGTTTGTGTGTGTGTTTGAGGAGAGAGAGTGAGTGATTGCGTGTGATTGACAAACAAACAAACAAGCAAACAACAACAACTATAAGATCAAGTCAATGGTCTTTGCTGCATTCATTTCCATCCATGACCAAACACACACACACACAGACATCACTATAACTACAATTACCAGTTCTTCTACTTCTTTAAGAACAACATAAAGATCAACAACAACTAAAACAACGATTATTATATTACATTATGATACAGCGGGATACTTCCCATCCTTCATAACACAATCAGTCATTCAATCAATCAATCAATCAATCAATCTAAAATGTAAGAGTCAATTCAGTCTTGTTCCCATTAATGTGTTTCCAGTTTGCAATTTGCCCATCGACCTCACTGTTTCACTCAAAGTGTGTGGTGGAACTCTGTCGACCTGGATGTTTGTTCATCGCAACCCACCACACACCAACCAAGAGGTATCTTTGGTCAATCAGCATTGACATCATATCCGATTGATTGACCAAAGTTTATTGTTGTTGTACATGTACACACGTACACCTCACTCAGTCAATCATATTGTTATTATTATTAATTAATCTTATATTTGATGATAGCAATCTCATCATCAATCAAACAAACACATTCAATCAATCATTGCCTTTATAAAGCAAAGAACTTTGGTTACTAACGTCACTCAACAGTTAATTCTCATATTATCCTTCAATCAGATAATCAAATTATTATAACAACCAACATATTACACCTACAGTAGTAACTGTCTATCCATCCATTGTACATACATACATACTTCCCTACTTAAGAAAGAAATGAAAGAACTATCCAACATACTTAATGATCTACACCTAGAGTGCCAGTCCCAACAACAACCACTGCCAATGACACAACAAGTTGCCAGACCTGGATCTCCCATTGTCAGTACAACACCAGGTTGTAGCACACCAGAGAGACCTACCACGCCAGTCCAACACTACGTGCCCAAATGTCCAGGTGCACCAATCAAAGCGCGTCAAAGTACCCAACGCCGGGGTGTCCTTCGTCCAAGGATGCTATTCCAGTAGTACTTGGCCACATCCACATCTACCTCCAGTAGTAGTACCTTCACATCCATGAACCCTTATGGTTATGGACCAATCATCATCTACCCAACCTACCTTCATACACAAATGGAACCGTCCATCAATTGATTGAACAATGTCCATCACCCAAACAACTCCACTCTATCGACAAAAGAGGGGATGGGAGGCCTGTCGGCCTGAAGCTGCACGGCCTACCCATCATATACTATATATAATTACCCTCCTCCAATGTAACACCATGTACCATTCATTCAATCGCCTCTACTCCTCAGACTTGACTAGCCTGAACCCAACACAATAAACAAACCCATTACCTTTAACTATCCCATAGGCCAACGCATACTTCAAATGTTGTGAATGGACTGACGGAAGTGTGTTTCCTTCGCGCTTGTGTGAAGACGCACGACCTTGAGGCAAGTTCATCAATGATTCATTCTTTCATTCACTTTGCGAATCAATCAACTTTAAGACACATACTTGTACATATTAACTCTATCTATAACATACAACATCGCTATGGCAACAGTAAGTACTTCATTCATTCAATCATCATGATGATACTAACCATTGACTCAAACTCAATTAGAAACGAAAGAATGAACAACAGAATGATGTATTGACAAAGGTTAGGAGACAGGATGGTGAGAATGATAATGATGGTGATGCAGTGGCAGAGGTAGAGTTTGAGGAGCTCAATCCAGCGACATTGAAGAAGTTGGTGTTGACATTTGAGAAGAAGTATAATATCAATCAAGAGATGCGTATCAAGTATGCAGACAACCCAGAGCGATTCATGACCAGTGAGATCGAGCTGGACGACGAGATCAAGAAGCTACAGATCGTTGCCACGGCACCAGAGCTCTATCCACTCTTTGTCAAACTTGGCGTCATCACCTCACTCGGTTCACTACTCCTTCATGACAACGTGGACATTGTAATCGATATAGTTGATCTCTTTCACGAGTTGACCGAGCAAGAGACGCCCAACGACGACCAGACCCTCGCTCTAACAAACAGTTTGGTAAGAGTTCTTCAGATGCGAGCGGGGCGAGAGTGGACACGCGACTGACTGTACACCAACCTTAGATTGAGAATGGAGTCGTCGAGACGTTGGTGACAGTACTTGAGCGATTTGATGTGTCAGAGTCAGATGACCAGGCAGCCATTCATAATACATTGTCTGTGTTTGAGAATCTGTTGGAGTTGAAGCCAATGGAGACGTCGAAACTGCTCGCGGACAAGTCAAACATGTTCAAGTACATACTCACGGCGATCAGATCACCTCCAGCTGCTAGCGTACCATTGAATGTTAGACTGTACTGTTGCGAGATCCTTTCCATCATACTCCAGACGAATGAGGAGTCGCGCGACAAGTTTGCTCAACTTGGAGGCATTGACTCATTGCTGGTCGTCAGTGCTGCCTACAAGAAGAAGGCGCCCGAATCATTGGAAGAGACAGAGATGGTTGAGAATGTGTTCTCCTCCCTATGCTCCAGTCTCCTTGGTAACCAGGCCAACAAGGATCTATTCCTACAATCAGAGGGCATTGAACTAATGCTCATGTTCATAAAGTATGTAATGTGTTTGGCCGCCCTGAAACATGTTTCAGGGTCCCTGCATGGATGTACTAACCAACCTCTGGCTTGGCGTGGAACAGGAACAAGACAGTGTTTAGGAGCTCGGCGCTGAAGGTGCTGGCCTTTGCACTGACGCGACATCAAGGAGCCAACGAGATGTTTGTCGAGAGACTTGGATTGAAGACATTGTTCTCAGCGATGATGAAGCGAGTCAAGTCCAAGCACAACAAGAACAAGAACAAGAAGAACAAAGGAATATATAATGAGATGGAAGATGATGGTATGGTTCAATTGACGGCAAACACGTCGCCTCGCCATGCACACCCACGATCACTGACTAACCAGCAACGACAACAAACAACAGAGCATATCATAACGATTGTACACTCATTGTTCACAAACTTGGAGAAGGGATCAGCGAGATACGAGAGATTGGTGTCCAAGTTCACAGAGAATCAATGCGAGAAGATTGATAGATGGTTCGAACTGTTTGATAAGTACTCCAAGAAGCTGAGGGAGGCCGAACAGAATCTTAAACAGGAGCATTTGGAGAATGGTGACGATGAGGACGATGATGACGAAGAAGAGTTGTTCTTTAGACGTTTGGATGCTGGTCTGTTCAAGTTACAGCACATAGACATTGTCATTGGCATACTATTTGGATACAATGTCGGTGGCGACAACACTATAAAGGAGAGGATACAACAGGTGATCAAACAGAGGAATATAAACATGGATAACATCATTGGAATTCTTAAAGGTATGTTTTATCATGTCATGATGACATATGTTGATTGATTGATTGGCATACTGACTGACTAACTGAATGAACAATGAATAGAATATGAGGCAACGATAGAGACCTCACAATTGAAGGATCAGGATAAGGAGCGTGACAAACAGTTTATAGAATCACTCATCAATACACTGCGATCCAATTGATCGACCATTCATCTATTACATTATCATCATGTCAATCAATCAATCCATGGACACATGCATACATCATGGACCATGTCATGTCACCTCTGTTACTGCGCCACTAACGTCATGACCTAGCTTGCTAGACTGTAATGTCTACTCATGGCTGAGGCGACGTGTTTGGCAGAAAGGTCGATCGGATGCTACGCACAATACGTCATGTGACAATCAATCAATCAATCAATCAAATGTGGAGTGATGATGGTGATGCGATTTCATAATGAAAGTGTCAGTTGTTGGCAATACATACTCCGAGTACTTCCAAATGGGGAAGAGGCAATCCAGTCTAAGTGTGTGTCATGGTGACAGTTGAATAGGTAGTGAGTGAGTGAGTGAGTGACTCGTGGCGTCTACCCAATGTGCGGCCACCTCTACTACCACAACACTGGCAGGATGTTGTGTTGTTCTCTTTTAAGTTGCGGATGGGCTTAATTGATTGTCGGTTGATGATCAGCCAGACACATTCATGTCCAACCAACCCACGTCGACTACCAACCAACCAACCAACAATACGATATTCTCAGCTCAACATAACTACCAACCATATTCTATTGAAGTTTATTATAACAACAATCAGCATGAATCACTATCACACTTGGATGACCTTTTAAGGTCAACCCACCCATCACCACCATCAACATTGGCATGGCTTGGCATCCTCCACAAAAGATGATGATCAAGTGACCATGATTGAATGATGCATGTGTTTGGCTGCTGCTCTTGATATTGTTGGACACTTCTAAACACTTTGTCAATGCCATCCATCCATCAATCAATCCATCAACTCCATTGGAAATGCATATCAATCACTACCTGTCATGTGATCATCCACAACTACCATCAATGATGTGTGTGTGGGTGTGTGGGTGTGGGTGTCACCTGATCAACACAACACACACGAGTGAAGTGATGATGTAGGGAGTGTGTTGGTTGGTCAGGTGCATTGTTAGATGAGAGTTATAAGTATATTGTATAAGTAATAATACTGATCATACCACACTCACTCACTAACTCACTGATTCTCAATACACACAATTGAGAACTCATTTGAGAAATGATGGATGATGTTAACCTTAAGTTATGCATTGTATATACATTAACTTCCCGCACCTACGCATCCACTTCCACCCTCTACCTCATCGACCACCATCAGTCCACTGTCAATCAAACAATCAACTCCCTCTGTTATAATGGGAGGATGAGGGTGCACTTGATGGGTGTGAGTGTCCTTTAATCGTGGAAATATCATTCATTATACGTCCTGCCAGGCAGTCATTCAGTCTCAAGTGTCCAACTAATAACACATCACATCAATCACATCATAATCCATCCATCAATCAATCAATATTACATTACATTATATTGATCCATCACTTAAATATCCCCGAATATATCATATCCTATTTACTTTACTTACTTTTAAAGTCCAACTTATATTCTTACGATAAATATTAATTTATATATATAATTAATTTAAATTAATAATAATAATAATAATAATAATAAAATGATCGAGATGGTAAACACAATTCCAGGTTATCCAGCAGTGGGCTATCACACTGGATACCAGAGTCCAGGATATGTAATGCATCATGTCCAGACTGTGCCCAATGATTATGATGTGGCCAACACCTACTATCATCAACAACAGGCCAACCAATTATACCAAAGTATTCCGAGCAGTCCTGTAGTCAGTAAGAAGCGTGCATTCGAAAATCACCTCCTCACACACCCACCGGCTACGCCGTCCAACAACTATACTCGCCCAACTCCTATCAATTCCAACAACTTCAACAGCAACAACAACTCCAACAGCAACAACAACATCAACAACAACAACAACAACAACTTCATCAACAACAACAACAATATCAACAATACCAACAACAACAACAATTACAACAACAACATGCTCAACAACAACAACAACTTGTACAAGTTGGATCATCACCAAACTCAAACTCATTCTATTTGTCGAGTTCGCAACCGACTACGCCACCCGAGCCCAGTACAATGGTCGATCAGTTTGATGAGGACATTGATGAACAACTGCGAGAGTACCTCGCGCCAATGTTTGCCAAATACATGGACAAGTCCACCAAGGAACATCTGGCCGTGCTCATTGCAGAGTATCTCAGTGATGAACTACCACTTAGAACACTGGTCAATGATCTTAGAATGATTACAATGGATGATCGCACACTACTCCACTACCTTATCGAGATATTCATTGTTATGGATACCACCAACAAGATGTACAACTACCTTTTGGAGAATGGAGTCGATGAGCCCGAACTAAATATAGATACCAAGAACTTTGCCATGTTATTCGATGCCGAGATGGTATTCAAGAAGGTATGTTTGATTGATGTATGAGAGGAATCATTCCAGCCCCGCCCCATCACCTTATCACACTCTAACACTCAATCACACCAACATAGAGGGAGAGATCAAGAAAGAGTGTGAGCAGGGGACTTAGGAATCCACCAAATAAGTGGACAAAGGAGGAGAGCCAAAGGTTGATCCAGTTGGTGCATGAGAGTGGAGATAAACAATGGAAGAAGATTGCCATGCAGATTGGTGGAGGCAAGACTGGTGCACAGTGCGCTCAACATTGGAAGAGAGTGCTGTGTCCAGCGATCAGAAAGGGCTCGTGGGACGAGGAGGAGGAAGCCAAGTTGTTCATACTGGTCGACAAGCATGGACAGAGCTGGAAGAATGTGGCTTCGGAGATCCGCACCAGGACCGACATCCAGTGTCGCTATCAATACTTCAAGTCGTGTATGTCGCGCGAGGTGCCCTGGTCGCCCAAGGAGGACGAGTTGTTGCAGAAGAAGGTTATCGAGTGCAAGCAAGAGGGTCGAGAAATCAGTTGGATGGATCTCTCCAAGTCGATGGCGCGTGCTCGTCAGACCAAGATACCCAGGACCGCTCTCGAGTGCAAGTCGCGCTGGGAGGCCATATCAATGGGATCAATAGTCGATGGCATGGACCTGACTTCGCATTTCTAGGTGGGTGGTTGGCGGATTGATGGTCCACCATCCAAGGCACATTCATGTACAGTCTCTTCCTACTTTAATTAAATATATAGTAATACCCTTCCGAGATCTTCATTCTTTATAAAGTATAATTTATTGTTTGATCGGTTGAGACAATGAAAAGAGGCGAACCTAAGTAGATCTGTGAAGCGGAGCAGAGGAGTTCGTTAGTATATGTGATTGAATAGTAGTTGATGATGATGATTATGACGATGTTGATGATGATTGGTTGGGATAGACATTGATTCATTCCATTCATCGAGTTGTTCAGGTTGTATAAGTTAAAGGGTCACGGGTCTAAGACCTATTTCTTTCAATAGTTTTCATCATTCAAGTACTCGTAAGAAGTATATGTCCATCATCAATCATTCCAACATCATCATCGTCTTATGTTAAATGTTATGTTCACCTACCATTTGGATTTGTTTGATAATGACTCGCTCAGTGGGTCGTCTTTTGGTATTAGTGATTGAAGCAATCACTTATGAAAAAATGAAGCAAGAAGTGCCTCAAAATATCTGCCCGGGTTTTTATTATTGACTTTCGTTTGACTTGAATCTTGATTTGTCGGGATGGTCGTATTCTTGATTGAACGAATGATTGAACGTGTAATGATCATACAAATAATTGGAAATCAATTAGATTGTTTAACCATAACAAATTATTGACAATCGTTATTTACTCTTTATATATGTCTATGATTGATTGTTCAAACAAGGTCTCATCACAGCAACAAAAAACGTTGGAAGAAACCCTTGATCGGCCAAAGAGAGACATTTGGTCGACCAAAGAGACCTGTCCATCCTACTCCTTTTTGAATCCAATCAATGTGTGGAAGCTTTGATTGGCGAACATCCATCAATCAATCATCAATCAATGTATCTGTACAAAATAATTTATTCCAACTACTTCTTGTTGTGTGAGAATATTGAGAGAGCTGTGGCCTTGATCTGTTTGGTCTTCATGCGCAGACTGCTTGATGATGTTGACTTCTCTTTGGTTGCTGCTGGTGTCTCAGTGGTGTTGTTACCGCCACTGCCACTGCTAACTCCTGTGGTCGATGATGAGGATGAGGACGAGGAAGAAGAAGCCACGGGAGCCTGTGAGATAATTGATCTTCGCTTGACTGGTGTCTGTCGAGTGGTCGATGGAAGCTGTGACGATGATGGAGTTGTAGTTGTGCTTGGAGACTCATTGTTCGCGTTGCCTGGTGTAGCTGGTAGCTTTCTTGATGGTGGCAGTGGAGGTGGTCTGTGTGGTGGAAGCTGTCTTCGTACCGGAGGTGTCGGGGCACGTTTAGGTGAGACAAACTTGGGTGCTGGAGGTGTTGGTCTATTCGATGATTTCCATGATGTGGCCGTATTGCTTGTTGTTGACGTCGTTGTCGTTGGAGTGCTGGTCGATGTCTCTGTGCCTGTGCCTGTGTTGGTGGAAGTTGGTATGGGGTCTTTGCCATCCTTGTCCAACGATACTGTCTTTGGAGTTGAAGTTGGAGTGGGTGGACGATTGGAGGATGATGGAGTGGGTGGCCTGTTGGATGAGACTGGGGTCGCGGGCCTGGACATGCTCCTCCTCTTGGTGTTGCCAGCAAGTGGCTGAGCATCACCTGAAAGACTGGATGTCATTGGTAGTGGTGAACTTGTCTTTCTCTGCATTCCACCAGCGGGTGGTTTGAGCATGCTGTTGCCAGTCAAAGGTGTTGGTGATCCATTCTTTGGAGATGCTCCAGATATCGATGGCTTCCTGCCGACGCCCAGTCCAAACATGTGTGAGGGTGACTTGTTGCCACTTTGATGTGGCTGGGTACTAGGCGGGCTAGGCAGATCATTGATGGTATTCTCCGTGATGATGTTGCCAATCATTGACAGTAGCTCACTCTTCAATGATGCTATCTCACTTGTTACATGCTGTTTGATGTTGGTCTGCAACTCTGTGAGTTCACTCTTTAGGTTGGCAACAGTTTGTTCCAGCTCCTTGATTGACTGTGAGTTATTCGACTCCCTTGTCACCAAGTTGTTGTTCATCATATCTCCAATGTTCGGTTGACTCAGTGTCCTCTTGAGTGCCGCAATGAACTCTGGTATATTGTCACTGATCATGTCCACTAAAGTAGTAATTGGGTGATTGAGTGAGTGATTGAAAGAGTGAGGGATAGTTCCAATAAGAGACATACCGTCGTCGTTGACAACCATTGTACCGCTGTAGTCTTCATCGTTGTCTGAGAGAAGACTGTCGTCGTCGTGGACGATGAATGTTGAGTTGTCGTGGTCGTCCTTTAAGGCTGATGTGGCGTCAGCTCGTGTGGCGGCAGCAGCCGATCCAACAACAGTGATACTCTTCTTCTTTTTCATCAAAGCAGCGCGCTTCTTATTACACTCCTCAATCAATGGTCTCAACGACTCTATTGATCCCGAGGTAGAATGTTGGACAATGAATGGGTGCTGGTGGTGGGAAGGTCGATGGAATGTTAGTGAATGATTGATTGATTGAGTGAGTGATGGAGGGTAGTTACCGAGAGTAGTTCCATTGCAGATGGTCGTTTGGCAGGGTCCTTTTGACAACAGCATGCTATCAGGTCGTTGAGCTCCTTGCTAAAGTGATGTGGCTTGGTGAGTGTTGGTGGGTTCTTGTTGGGGATCATCAGCATGGCACGTGTTGGGGCCATCTGGTAATATGGAGGGAAGCCCTCAGCCATCTCAATGATCGATATTCCCAAACTCCATATATCGCATCTATTATCATATGGCTTCTTCTGGATGATCTCGGGCGGCATCCACAAGGCTGGAAGGTAGGCATGTGATGGTGTCAGTGATCAATCAATAAATCATGATATGGTCAAGGACATACGTGTTCCAATGAACTCTGTGGACTTGGACAATTCGTCTTCGAGTTGTGCACTCACTCCAAAGTCTGCCAGCTTGACTATACTGTCCTCGTTGAGTAGGATGTTGGCAGCCTTGATATCTCTATGTATGATCTGATTGGCATGGAGGTAAGTCAGACCCTTGAGAGCCTGGCTTACAATGGCCGATATCTGTTTCTCTGTCAATGTCTTCTCAGTCAACTCAATCATATCTCTAATTGATCCCATACTACAATAGTCCATCAAGATCTAATCATTGTGTTTGAGTGTGAGTGTGTTAGTGATGGTGAAGGGGCTGGGATCATTCCAGGACCCAAACATACCCATAGTTTGTCACCAGAGTTACAACATCCAAAGTAGCTGACGATGTTGTTGTTCTTGCACTTCTTGAGGATGGTGATCTCTTTCTCGATGGACTCTGAATCTTTGAGCGGGATGACTTTGACGGCCAACTCAAAGTTGTTGTCCCGGTGGAGGGCCCGGTGAACTGTGCCGAATGAGCCAGTGCCAAGCAACTCCTGGAACAGGAACACTTGGTCCATATTCTCCTCGCCAGACCATTTGTAGTCAAAGTCCACATGCACCTTGTGCTTGACGTTGAATGGCGAGCCCACGTCAATGTCTGGTGTGGCGCCGGCACCTGATGATGAGGGCGCGGGCAAGGGCGCGGCATTGGATGCCTTGCGTTCGCGCATCTTATCCTTCTGTATCTTCTCTGCCTTTTTCATTTGCCTTGGCCACATTCTTGTTGATGTTGGACGATCCGGTGCTGCGCACGCACTTGGCCAGCGAGTCAAAGATGATCTTGCGCTCCTCCTCGAATCTGTCCCTCTCGCGCTGAAGTGTCTCGCGCTCCTCTCTCAGCCTGGCCTCGCGCACCTCCACTTCACGCAACTGTTCGTCCATTGACTTTTTATACTCCATCTGTTTCCTGGCTGATGATGCGCCACCACTACTGATCAGTGGTGAGTTGGTAACATTTGGTGGCGGTGGACCTCTTGGAGATGATGGTACATTTGATGATGTTGTTGACGATGATGATGATGATGTTGAAGTATGAATTGGACTTGACACCTGAGGTGTAGTCATCGTTGAGTTATTATTATTATTTATATCTTCTTCCATTATTATTATTATTTATATGATTGATTGATTGTTTGATTAATGTTGTTGGATGGAGGTGATGCAAATAAGTAAGTAAGTAGTGATTGATGAGGTATTGTTGTTGGCACGTCACCAGAGGCCAACCCATCATCACATCCATGGGTTAGTACCCTCCCTCACAATAGTACCTGGCCACATACATCAACAACACCTTTTGATCACACATTACAACAGAGGGTGTTTTGAAGAGTCGGGTTATGATAATGAATGGAATCAAAGAATTTGAACTTTTGTATGAAAATGATGATGGACTTTACAACAAGATTTACTCAAATAGGTATAGTTGTTGGGGAGATATACAAAGATGATCAATCTTATTATAAGTATTTTGATGATGTCAATGGTTAATTAATTAATTAATTAACACCTATTCTCATCGTCAATTCAAATAAATAATACCATGGATGCAACCTATAAATATTTAAGTAAATCAAAAATGATGATTGCCCATCGATCGATTTGAAAAAACGAACGAAAGTTATCGATATCATATGATACACGAACGAAAAGATATGGTTAAATCAATGATTCATTATCTTCATTCATTCAACCAACCAACTATTTCAAACAAACAAGTAAAGAATATACAATAATGCCTCAATTCTCTTGTGATAACTGTGGAGATGTATTAAAGAAGAATCAGATGTCTGGTCATGCGAGAAGATGTAGATATCCATCATTCTCATGTGTACAATGCAGTGCTAGATTCGGTATTGATAACTTTGCCACTCATACCGTCTGTATGAGTGAGGAGGAGAAGGTACAAGGCAGGCTATACAAGGGTCCAAAGTACAATCCAAATCAAAAGCAACCACAACAACAACAGAATGGAAACAACAACAAACCAAATGGTGCCAACAACAATAACAACAATAATAAGAATAATAACAACAACAACAATAATAATAATATAAACAATAACAACAAGAGAGTTAAAGAAGAAGAGAAAGAAGAGGAAGTTAAAGATAATGGAGTAAAGAAGTTGAAGACTGACAACGATGTCAAGTCTGATAACAAAGTTAAGGTTGAGGAGGAGAAGAAGAAGATTGTCGTCAAGAAGGATGACAGTGATAATGAGTCTTCAAGTAGCAGCAGCAGCAGTAGTGAGAGTGAGGATGACAAGAAGGTCAGCAGTAGCAGCAGCAACAGTGAGAGTGATAGCGAGGATGACAAGAAGGTCAGCAGCAGCAGCAGTAGTGAAAGTGAGAGCGAGAGTGAGGATGACAAGAAGGCTAGCAGCAGCAGCAGTAGTGAAAGTGAGAGCGAGAGTGAGAGTGAGAAGAGTGATAGCTCATCATCGTCCTCATCCTCATCTTCATCTTCATCATCCTCCTCCTCATCATCATCAAGCAGCGAAAGCGAGAGTGATAGCGATTAGATTAGTGCACTCAATCAAAAAATAAATGTATTAACTGCCAATACATAGCTTTGGCATATACCCAATCAATCAATCAATCAATCAAGGTATTAGCATATTCAAGGTGATCAATGACAATGGTCATTGATAGATAGTTTATTGTGGACAACAATAGCGACCGATCAAGGTAATTACTACTGTTCAATGCAGTTCTGATTGATAAAGTCATTGGCCTCGTTGGACCAGTTCCACATGCCTCCATCCATCTCACTGCCAATGCGAAGGGCAACCTCAGCCGAGGAACAGAGGTAGTTTGGTGCAGACATCTTGCTGAGATCGCCAAAGTCATTGTTACAGGCGTCCACACAGTTGTTGTACATGGTGTAGCTGGCAGCGATGCAGGATGCTCCAATGGGTGGCGTGGCAACACATGTTCCAGTCCAGGCACAGTATCCACAGCCGACAATAGTCACGACGGCACCGAAACACTTGAAGGCGCAGGAACCCCAGCCCTGTCCAGTGACCATTTCTTGTTGATTAATGTATTCATAGGCAAGATTGTTGGCGTCATCTTCAGACAAGTCCCTCCAGCCTTTGATTTCTTGTCCCAATGATACTTGACAGAATAGGACAATAACTAATATTAGTTTGATCACTTTGGTTGTTATTATCATGTTTGGAAATAATTAATTAATTAATTAATAGATTGATTATATTTAAGAAGGATTATTATTATTATTTGTTTGAGTTTGATATCAAGTAATAATAAAATCCAGTTTATTTATAACTATGGATATTTTGGAAGTTATTCGAGGGACATCTTTGTCGGCCCAATCAGAATTGGGACTTTGGATTCAAGGTCAAGTCTGTAAAGATCACCCACCTTATATTCATATCTGATCAGGTTCTAATCTTCAGGTTTCAAGTCAACCCAATAATTATTCCTCAACTCACCCCACACTCAACCAATCAAGAATGAGTTGGTCCTACTCTCATTGGTCTGACCATTTGCATTTGATTTCAAAGACCATTACCTTTGGGGCACAGCTCAGAAATGACCTACCAAACAAGGTCACTATTTCTGACTACATACCTTCTACCAAATATCACTGATATTATATTTATAATATTATTAGTATTATGGTTTATTTGATTGATTAATCGAACAAGAATTACCAAAAAAATAACTTAACCTTTTTAGGTAATTTTCAAAAAGTAGTTTGAAGTTTCTCTAGCAAAGTGATAAAACTTGTCTGGGTTGTGAGGGAAGAGTGTGTCCAGTGTGGTCTTGATCATGAGTGAAATGGTGTGTGAATCGGGGGTTAGTGAATGAAGTAGATGTACATCATCATGTTTGCTAGTTCACTCACTCACCAAGACAGTTACTCTATAAATCAATCAATCATATAATATATACAATGATTTCCAAACAACTTGATATTTATACATTATTGTTATTTTTGTTCGTACAATTTATATCATGTTCACAACTTAAAGTAGGTTAAGATAGATATTAGTATTTAGATTCATTTTATTAATATTATATAAAGGATAAAGATCCAATTCTAAATGGATTCTCATGTCAAAGGAATAACTACTTCCAATATAGTCGATTCAATCTATTTACAGGTGATATGATAATCAATCAAACAATTGATCAATTTCAAGACCTGGATCTCCTGGCAGTACTCAGTGTCTCTTCTAACAACAATGATTTCTTATTATTTGGTCAGAATCCACATGGTTATCAATTATTTACATATGATGTCAAGGTAATCTATTTCCCTATATCACTCATTGACTCACATTACTAACTCAAACATACCTAGATGAACAGTGTACAACTTAAACAACAAACATCAGCATTGAAGTCCCCAACTTATAATGTTTACTCACCAGTATCATATGACTTTGAGAGGAATACTGTACACTTCCAGATGAATCCAATGTGGACCAATGGATTAGGTATCATGTCTATTGACTTTGATAACCATCTCAAGTATGTAGAGTGAATGAGTTGTTCACCATGGTGTCCAGTTTACTAACATTAATTAATGAATGAATACGTATATAGTACCTTTGTTACATTACAGAATTCATCTGTTATATTGACCAATTGTTTCTATGACCAGGATAGTCATGTATTCTACAGCTCATACATTGATATTAATGCTTCTATGAATGTGGCACCATATGACACGAGAGGCCAAGAGAAGTTGAGACCATTCAATCTCACATTGGACTTTATATTATTGGACAAATACTATGGATACCAGAGTATATACATCTACCGTTCAAAGTTGTTTGTAATAGTTGGTTCAATGTCACCTGGTTTCCCTTTATGGATGGGTGCGATCGACTTGGATTCTATGGAGATGTCTACAATATTCCTAGAACAGAGTATGATTGTTGGCAACAACGATCTTGTAGGATGGCGACCGGATTCTATCGATCTTGAACATGGACGCATCTCGTTGTACGCAGTCGTTTATCCAGACAACACCAAGTCCTACCTCTACATGGTGGATTTATTCACACTCTCCTACACCAAGACATCGATGTTATTGAATCTCTCAAATGGAATGGATTGGACTATAATGACTTAAGTCTTAAAGAAATCTAGATACTTGCAATTCTCTCTATTAGGTATCAAGTGTGTACGTCATACATGCAATAGGGTCTTTGTGTGGGTTGGTGTAGTCTCGGGTGGGTGGGGTAGACGACCGGTCGTTCCTGTGAGTTTGATTCAGATCTGACGCAGTTTACAATATTTATCAAGACCTTTATTCAATTCCATATTAATAATTTATTTATTCAAATACAACCAAATTACAGTTACTCAAATCCACTTCAAAATAATTTATTAATTATTTATATTTATTAATTATTTATATTTATTATTTATTTATTTAATTTTATAACAAGATGAGGACATTCAACATAATCAATATCTCAATATGGCTGGTAGTGATGTTGGTATTACTGGTATCCAAGAGTAATGGAGAGTCTACATACCACGAGTGTGAATACAACTGTTATTTAAATGAGCAGAATTGTCTCTACAGCTGCGATTTGAACCGCAGAAGCTATTGCAACTGTTTTGACCTAGCTCTCAACTGTATTGCCATCTGTGAAGGTTATTATTATAAATAAATAATATTAACTCTCTCTGATAATAGACAATTTACTTCACAAAGATATGTGTTTGTGAGGTGGGTGTATTATTTATCTGGGTCATTTACAACAACCACGAGTGTTGTAAATGATCAATAATAATATCTTGATCAGATGATTTGAATTGGAATATATATGTGACTTCGAAGGAAGGAATGTTGTCATTCAATTAATTTATTGAAATATAAAAAAACTATGATATTTAAGATATTATTAATTATTTTTATAGGATTAACCCCTAAAGACAGAGATAGGCTGCGCACTAAGTGTAAGCGGGGTGTTGGTGCACCCCCTTACTTTATTTGGAATTAATTGTGCACAGTTTTGGAAAGTTACAAGTCAATTGGTATTGACCTGTTTATTGTAGGGTAAGGATAACAAGAAAGAGCCACAGATGACTAGACGGAGAAGGTGATCGAGCCCAGCGTCGGTTGCCAATAAGTAATGACATGATCCCTAGTGATGGACAACAAGTGTGATGGACTATGGCAACTAATCTGATTGATGGATTAATGATGGGATGAACCAGGTGTTTGATTGATCAATTGAGTGCATCAACAACATTAGTAAATGTGGTCAGTGAGTAACATCAGTGCAGACCGGACCTTGATGAGGACCTGGATCCGTCTCTTGAAGAGCGAGATACCTTTGGTGGTGTTCTAAGAGTTGGTCAATGGACTGGAAGGTGTCCGCTGTCTGCAGTGGCATGGGTCAGTGACAAATATTGTTGTCCTATCCATCATCGTCTGGGTTGTTGTTGATCCGCTTGTCGACGATCTTTTGTTGAGGTGGACGATGATGATTGTGATGATTGTGATGATTGTGATGATTGTGGAGATGTTGACTCCTTCCAAATGTATGAATGTTGGKGGTGTTGGGGTTGGTGCGGCACAGCTGGCAACGATGCTTGTTGTTGCTCCACCAATGATGGCGATGTTTGGGACAACGATGGTGGAATGTATCTCWTGCGCTTCTTAAATTCTGGAAGTTTGGTCAGGACCACATCTGGATACTGATCCGACTGTGTGGATGTCAATGATCCAGCAGCTTGCRTGATAAGGTCTATATACCTGATAACCTGATAAAAAAAAAGGAGCAGGCGGAAAACTGCTCCGAGCAGCGAGGTTCTGAGGCGGCGCAATGGATGTCTCACTTGGAAGTGGATCAAGTTGGTGTATCTTCAAGTGCTTGTTGTGGTAGATGWTTGAACACTCTTGATGCAACACTATATGGCAACACAGGCAGACGTTGGTGGWATCTCCTCGATTGTCTCTATTCGTCTCTCCCTTGTCAACACAGTGTACGCACTTGAGAAGTCTCCGATTTTGTTTAAAGTCTGTGGCCACATCCATAGCATGTTTGGAAATGGTTGGCTTGTCAACATTGGTGCCAGAGGTAAACATGAGGTTGTTCTTGGCAATCTTGATCCTTTGCTCTTGGGAGAAATGATGGAAAYTTTGATGGCGAGGCATGTAGAAGACGTTTGTGGTGTTGACATCTCTGCCCTGGGGCAGCGTGCAGCGTGGCAGTGGTGGGAGAAGATATCCGTTGATCGCCCCCAGCAGGTGGTCTCTGAAACAAATGGGCTTGTCTGGTTGGCAAATCATGTTGAACAGTACCATTGAATTCCAGGCCAATATATAAAGGGCGTCATGAAGAAGTACCCTCCAGAAGGTACGAGCTCGATGAACATTCCTGTTGGGATTGATGACCATCTTGGTGCTGTCCACATAGTTATGACTAACATTATAACAGAAGACAACCCTTGGTGCCTTGCGGGTAACGGTCATATGACGTGAGGATCTATGTTGTTGGTGTTGATAAGAGTGTTAGTACATTGTTATTGTACGTTGTTACACCATCGATCTCCTTCATTCATGATCCAAACGCACCTCTTCTCGTGGCCAACTYTGTCGTACATGCGCAAGGGATTTGGGATGTTGGTTAGGAAGTAGCAAACCTTCTTATCCCTTGCTCTCCAGGCTATCGCCGTGCTGAATGAGTTGGCGCCGTATACAACGGTGTCCACAAATTCCTTGTCGCTGCTTGCCTTCCTTCTGAGGACGATGCACTGCTGTCGATAGTTCTCCTGCTCCTCAGTGCTCAACCTCAGCCAGTAGTTGACTTGATTGCTTCTCTTGCTGCTGCTGCTGCTGCTGCTACCTCGGGTATTGTTGTTGTTGTTGTTGTTGTCATCCTCTTCATCTTCATCGTCATCCTCATCTTCATCTTCATCAAAATCATAGTCGTCATCCTCACTGTCGTTGTCCAACCAATGCTCCATGGTTTGCTTGGCATGCTTCGCCCTCCTATTCTTTCTTTCCATCTGTTTCTTTATCATCTCGTTGTAACTCCTCTCCAAGTACTGATCATTGATAAATAGAGGAGTGAATACATCAAAAGAGTTTGACCTCGATAGAGAAACAATGAAGTACTGGTTCCTCTTGGATAGTTCCTGAACGTTCTCATAGGTACCAAGAACTCCTATTGAAGTTGACGTGTGTGTGCAAGGATGGTGTCAATGATAATGTGATCCAAGGTGATCCATCATGATCGTGCTAAAAATGTTGAACTTACCTGCGTCAATGGCGAAGCATCTGCTCTCCGTGGGTGTGGACTCTCCAGGCAGTTGGACTGCGTGGCGCATCATATCGTCCATGATCAGTTTGTTGACTGGCACTCCTTCCGTGCCATTGGCCTTGATGACATACTCCTGGGAGAAATGGTAGATGTACTTATTCTCATCCACTAGCTTCCATGTTACGCCGCATCGGTCAGCCTTCCCAGTGATCATCTTCTTTCCTCCTCCAAATCCCATCCACTTGTAGAGATCATCGTCCAAAGAGAGGAAGGGTGACTTCCTATAGAAGTTCTTGATGATCAAGTTGAGGTCTGTCCGTAGCCATTCGTAGCTTGTCTGTTGGTTGGACTCTCGATTGGCAAAGCCAGGCATGTGAAGACATCTATCATATTGGAATGTATATGAATGATTGATTGAGTGATAAGTAATTGAGAGATAATTGATTGATCGATTGAATGTGATTGAATAGACTGACACTTACCGATGGATCTGCTTGAATCTGTACCAAGACATCAGTGATTGGTACTCTGGTTTGTAGAGACTCAGTCTGAGACTAGCCTTTTGTTGGTGATTCCAGCATTCTTTGATACTGTTCACTCTGTCCAATCCCAAATGAAAGAAGATGGCAAAGTAGGCCTTGAGCTCTGTCTCTGAGATATCTGAGCCCCTTAGATACCATGGCATGGATCTTGGAGCTTCATCTTCCTCGTTGCTATCATCATCATCGTCGTCGTCGTCATCAGTGATCATATCATCAAGGTCAAATTCATCATCACTGTCGCCATCATCCATGTCCTCGTCCTCGTCCTCGTCCTTGTCATTGGACTCAGTCTCATCGTCTTTGGCATCTTCATCTTCATCATCCTCCTTGTCCAAATCAAACAATTGGCCAGAGTTAGCCGCCACCAAGTCTGAATGAGTTCTTGAAACTGGATTCAGTCTCTCTTCATATTTCTTCCGACCAACAGCACGGTACCTGTGATGTAGTTATCTACGTTAGACCATCTGATCCGTACCAATACTATTGTTGTGCCACTGGTGCCATCACTTACTCATTGGTTGCCCGATGGAGAGCACCAAGAACAGTCTTGAAGTAAAGTTTGAATAGATATGGCGCACCTCCCTGACGAGCCTTGCTCAGCTTATCAGCCATCTCTTTAGTAAGATGATCGCTCTGTACATATGATGTGTCGAATGGTTGTGTCTTCATTCGCTCATCGAGGTTCATCTCTCCCCTCTCCTTCGCTGTAGGACTCTTCTTCTTTGTTGCATTTGTTGTTGTTGTTGTTGTTGTTGTTGTTTGTTTGTTCTTTTTCAATGCTTGCTTTGTCTTCTTGGATCTTGAGCGAGTGATCACTGGGTACACATCCTCATCCTCTTCKGCTACATCTGCATCCATTGATGGATGCTCTGCGTTTTGATGCCATTGTTCATTGGGTTTTAGTGTATATATATCCCCTCGAACAAAGTCTGTTTAGGTGTACAGTATGAGAATAAAGTCTTGAGTGTGTATATCAATCAATTATTCAACTCCCAACATACTGTATCTGTTTGTATATTGTTTCTTCCTACTATTGGATGATGTTGCATGCTCTGTATCTCTATCTGTGTTTGTTGTAGAAGACATGGCGTGTTGACAATGAAATTGAACAAAGACAAAGAGCATGGGATTGTTAATGTWGTTAAATTAAATTTAATTGATAAAAAAGGAAATTAGGGGTACTTATTACCTATGGGGTACACCAACACCCCAACTACACCTTAAGGGTTAATCGCAATCTCGAATGGTAGTGACAATTCTCCTGCCATTCTCTATTTGAATACTAGAAGAACTTTATTATCTTACCAGGGTGATTATGTTGTAGGGGAAAGTTCAGATCAACTAAATCAAAATGCAGATGACTTTTTAATTGATGTCCTGAATTCAAAAGGATAACATTGATACATTTCAAGGACGAATGAAGCCTTGAAACAGTTTGCAAAAAGGCGCCTTTTTTCTTCTAATATAGTAATAATAAATAAAGACAACACGTTTATTCCTCACCCTTCATTATACATGATATATATATATATATATATATAAATACTAGTACTAGATAGATGACATCTGTTGAGTTCTTGATACCTATACATTATGAGGACTTGGAGTCTGCCTCACACAATGTCAATGATGATGATGATGACTCTGGCGACACAACCACCGACAAATACACAATACGTAAACAAATCAATGTATTAGAGTTGTCAGACAATACAAAGTTAAAGACATTAGATGGTATGTTATCGTCATTCATTCATTGATTGATTGATACTAACATTCATTCAACATAGATATACATTCAAGGCTTACAAGGGATACATTGGATATACTCAATCACAACAACTTTGATCCATTGTTCTACTTTATTGGGTATGTCTATTTAGACTTGAATATCAGTATACGCGAAGGCTAACACAACAACAAACATACAGCAAGATACCATCGTTACCAAATGATGTAAAGAACCAGGTGTTGTCAATATTACAGACAGGCCTGACAAAGATACATCCTGTTATACAGGACTTGATTTCAAAGTCCTCTTCAATGAATCATGGCTCAGACGATTATACAGTGCATCTGCAACAGGTCAGGAACTCACTAAAGATATACGTATTCTTCATTCAATGGTTCAATCACTTTTCGACCAATGACAAGTCGGTGTCTGCGTCGTCAGGCGCTGGCGCGTCTGGCTCATCGGGCGCCACCACCGCCAACTCCAAGAAGCGAAAGACATCCAAGCAGACAGGCGTCGAGGAGATACATTGGGAGCAAGAGGGCAGCAAGGAGCGCACACTCACGCTCCTACACAGTCTGCTCGAGCTCAATTTGGCACAGCTCTGGAAGCTCGACTGTCCCGAGGAGGCATTCGTACAGATGATCACCAGGATGGTCTACGCAATGATTGAGAACCAAGCCAACATCAGAAGCAAGCCAATCAAACAGACACTGTTTGCGATCATCATCATACTGGTACAGCGCTACAATCATGCACAGATGATCACAGACAATGTGGTCCGTCTGCTCAATGCCCACGAGCACCTGCCGCAGCACATGGCCGAGCTCTACGGCGCCATCACATCGGTAAGCGAGGGCGACAAGCACACCCATCTCGTGGCCGATGCCGTTCGCGAGATTGGCAAGATCACATCGCGCGACCTCCACGACAATGCCGGCGTGCGTCACATGTCAGAGTTCATTGGATTGCTCGCCAGCAACGTACCGGGCCTCATGCAGCCATTGCTGCCATCACTGCTCCTCCAGCTGGACAATGAGAACTACGCCGTCAGGAACGGTGTGATCGACTCGGTGGGCCACCTCATTGAGCACGTGCACAAGAATAAGGAGGCTCCCAACAGGAAGACCACGCTGGACAGCCTCTTCCAGACACTGTTTGACAGGTACCGCGACGTGAATCCATACTCGAGGAACAAGGTACTGCAGACTCTACTTAGTCTGTTGCCCAAACACTTGGTGCCGCCACGCCACTACCGACACGTGGTGGAGATTGCCATTGGCAGGATATCGGACAAGGTGTCGTGGACGAGGAAGTACGCGATGCAGCTGTTCAAGGCCACGCTCAAGCATCAATACTACTCGGCCGTGCTCAGGTCAGACTTCTTTGAGCAGCTCAACGAGAAGTTCCACAGGCTGGAGAACGACCTGCTGGAGCAGGACCAGGGATCACAGATGGTCGATGACAATGACGATGAGGCGCTCGAGCAGGACGACCAGGGTGACGACGAGGAGGGCAAGAAGAAGCCAATGTTTGCCAACATTCAATCGCTCAAGATTGACAAGGCGCAGCTGCAGGACCTGGTCGAGAACACGCCATATGTGAGCACGGTCGACTTCCCGCCAAGCAAATGGATCTCCACAGTGTTCCCCAAGATGAAGTCGTGGATTGTGGAGACGACCAAATTCATCAAGTTGATCGAGCAGCCAATGGACACCATTTGCATGCTTCTGGGCAGCGTCAACAACAGTGACGTGCTGGAAGCCATCAAAGTCATACTGAAAGCTTACAAGCTGGGCATCTCCAACTCCAAGCAGGCTTTGTCCAAGATGCTCGTACTGATCTGGAGCAAAGAGCAGCCAATCAAAGAGGCTACAATCGATGCCTTCAACAAGATCATTGTGCCCAATGACTCTGATCACTCTCCCAAAGAGCCCTACCTTATTGCCAAGCGATTGATTGAGTAAGTGTACTGTAGTTGTGTGATTATAATGTCGTCTCGATGTCTAACAGATACCTCCAATCTCACCTTAGCCTGACCTTTGGAATGACCTTGGGAGAAATGACATCGTTGGAAGAGTTGGTCAAAGAGATGATGAAGAAGCAGTTCTTGAAGCCAAGCGTTATACATGCACTTTGGGATATCTTTTGTAAGTTTGATTGATTGATCCATTGATTGGCGATGCGATGCAAGCCCACTGACTCGCTCCCCTTTGTCATTCATCCAGCTGGAAAGGTACAACAATACAACAGCAGTGAGGATATACGTGGAGCATTGATTGTTCTATCGATGGCGGCCAATGTCGATCACAACATCGTGGCTGAACGAGTCAACCTATTGGTCACCAATGGACTGGAATCAAACAAGAATGTATGTGGATGGCAGACAAACAAGGTTGTGGCCCATGTCGACTAATCAATCTCCCTCCTCATACTACTCCAGGACGATGAATACGTACCAAGGTACACATGCATCACACTACAGAAGCTGCGATCGGAAGAGGGCGTCACATCGTCCAAGATGCCAAGGATCAAGAATGACCAGGTCATCTTTGAGAAGTTGATCGATCATATGCTTCAGCAACCAACGTCACAGTCGCGATGGTTGATGTTTGCCGAGCAGGCCATCAACACGATATACACGCTCAGTGAGCAGCCCGAGGCCTTGTCGGCCAAGATACTCAAGAAGTTGATCGCTCAGATCAATCAACAGACGCTGGAGACGGTGGACAGCCAACTGCTGAGCAGGTTCATCTTCATCCTCGGTCACATCGCCCTGAAACAACTAGTTCACATCGAGGAGATTCGTGGTGAGTTGAGAAAGCAACGAATAGAGAAGAACAACAATCAGGCCAAGAGTTCAAAGAAGTCACAACAAGAGAGTAAGTCATGGCGTGAGGTAGTTGATTGATTGATTGCATGGACTGACAAGGCTGGCGACACACTTAGACATTGAGAAGGAGTTGGGCTCAGAGCAGGCTGAGGCAGAGAATGAGGAGGACAAGTTACAGGAGAAGGCCGAGCGTGATATCATCATGGAGAACAATCTGATTGGACGATACGTACCTTTGATCCAAGCCATATGCATCAATCAAGGCAACAACTTCAATGTATGTATCATCTACACTGGATGATGACACGCATTGACTGACAAACACCCGCATCAACAGGACCAAACATTGCAGACGACTGCTGTGCTCACTCTTTGCAAGCTGATGTGTGTCAACAGTGAGTTCTGTGACAACAACCTTCAGATTATATTCACACTGTTGGCCTCATCACAATCTGAGACCATTCGCTCAAACATTGTCATTTGTCTGGGCGACCTTGCGGTGCGGTTCCCCAACGTGATTGAGCCATGGACGCTCAAACTGTACGCAAGACTGCGAGACAAAGATGTTTCGACCAGGAACACAACGCTGATGGTTCTTACACATTTGATCTTGAACGACATGGTCAAGGTGAAGGTATCGATCAGTGAGCTGGCGCTCTGTCTCGTCGACACGGACCAACGCATCGTCTACAACGCCCGTCTGTTCTTTAACAGTCTCAGCTCAAAGGGCAACACACTATACAACATCCTACCAGAGGTCATCAGTAGGCTTGCGATCGACAGTGGCGTCAACGTCACCAACGAATCAATCAGAGACATACTCAAATACCTCTTCTCCTTCATCCAGAAGGAGAAGCTCAATGAGAACCTGGTCGAGAAGATGTGCCATCGTTTCAAGATTGCCAAAGGTATGTATCCATGCTTCGCCAACTCAATCAATCTGGTCAGCCTCTAATCCACCTCGATCTTCCCTAGATATTGCCGAATCCAGGAACATTGCATTCTGTCTACAACTGCTTAGCTACAGCGAGAAGTCTTTGCGCAAGCTATTGGACTCGTACAAGGTCTATCAGGACAAGCTGGTAGATGAAGAGGTGTCTCAACTGATGAGTGCGATCATTACAAAAGCAAAGAAGGGTGTTGGAGCCAAGCCGGCGGAATGGAAGCAGCTCATTGATGAGCTGGAGAGAAAGCTTACCATTCACACAGAGAATGAGGATGACCAATCACCATCTGTGGCAGCTCCCAGCACAGGCACACAGGCATCACGACCAAAGAGAGCGGTGACAAAGGCAAAGACAAAGGCAAAGGCAAAGTCAAAGAAGGACGATGACGACGACGATGACGATGAGGATGAGGAAGAGAGCAGCGACCAATCGATGGCCGATGATGAAGAGGATGACGACGACGAAGCAGTGGCTCCATCAAAGCCAACACCAGCTGTGACAAAGGCCAAACCACCTCCAGCATCCAGAAAGAAGCCGGCTGCTGCGCCAAAGAAGAAACCCGCTGCGCCTGCGCCAGCCACCAGGAAGAAGCCCGCCGCCAGAAGAAAGAAACCGGTGGAAAGCGAAAGCGAGGAGAGTGAGGAGAGCGACGAAGATATGGACAGTGAAAGCAGCGAGAGTCAGAGCGAGAGCGAAGACATGGACAGCGACAATTAAACTATTATTATTTTCCATATAATCCTGGTTGTGTCGCCACGTGGTAGTTGGCGCGCGAACTTTCAAGTTCGTGCTATTGCTCACTCATTCTGTTCATTCATTCTCATTTAAACTCACTCATTGTTATAGATATATATATATATATTCCATGAAGGAGTAGATGCATGTATATGACAGGACTAAAGAGACTGCATTGTCAGCAAGAGAACGATAGCTTTGAGTCAGATAACGATCAACAACAACAACAACTACAATATATAATAACGAAGAGGAATAGACTCGATCATCAACTACAGGAATATATTGTTCATACACCTGCTGGAGACAACAACATCGATACTCCCAATTGTAATGTCTAATCTAATACCAAGCTAATACCATTGTATTGGCAGTTGGTTGGTTGCCTGAGTAACCTGCCTGACACGTGACATCCCTACAGATGTCCCTTCACCTCCTCAGGTGCCCACGTTGTCAGACGACATTGTTGACTACTACAATGGTTGCCACATCAACAACAGCAACATCAATGGCAACAGCGTAACAAACAGATGCCACAACACCAACAGCAACAGCAACAGTTGTAGTAGACAGACTGCACCACCACCTCTTCCTCCACCTCCCAACATGTTCAAGCGAGCTGCATCGACCAGTGTTATTAATGTTGTTATTGGCCAACAACAGTCTTGACATCTGTAGCAGCACCAATCCTAATCCTATAAAATGATTGACATGGGAGTAGGATGTTGATGTATATATACATTCGTTCGCGTATAATTCAACGCGTAAGCTAGACTATATTTAAAAGATGATTGATGGATCGCCTATTATGTATGACTGGTCCAATCGTTCGCTCATGAGAAGGACGCACAGGCTTGAGACAACTTGGAATAGAACTCTGCGATGATGGTGAAGATCTGATCAATCTCTCGCTCGTCTTTGCACTTGAGCAGATACATGTAGATGGCAGTGGAGTATATGGTGGCCTTCTCCACCTTTTGGTTCAGCACTTTCTTTAGTTGAGTCAGTTTGGGCTCGGTGGGCAGAGGCGCCTGTGAGTTGAACTTGAACTGTGGCTGCTTCAACAGATGTGACATGGAGTCAAAGTTCTCCTGTGTCTGTCGTATTGCATCGCCACATAGCAACAGGCGATCGAGTGACACATCAGGATCATTGACTCCACTATTCAACCTATCTATCGTTATCTTCATATCATTCTTTATCAACTCCATCGTTGCCTCCTTCTTCTGGATCATTCCCAGACTAGTCTGTGATCGTTGCATCTTTCCTCAATTGATTGATCGTTGAGTTGAACTTGTTTGTTGTGCTGTCCAGTATTCGGTAGATTGATAGATTGATTGATTGATTGATTGATTGATTGATTGATTGAGTCGGACCTTTGATGTCCTTGACTTTGACTTCCAATGCTTTCTGGTTGTTATTATGATGGTGGCTGGATTGATGGAATCTCAAAAAAGAAACAATGTTTGTTTTGAGATAAAGAGAAAGAGGGAGAGATGAGAGTATTGTTATATATCTCTATGATTCAATGTTTGAATGAATAAAGGGTCATGTTACTCATAGCTCAATAATGATCACCAACTAACCCTCACATCCACAGTACAACACCACCAAACAATTTGTGGTTGTGGGCTCAGCCCAGTCCAGGTTTGATCAATCACTCCCCCACAACACAACAGTGCCTCATCAACTAGAATCTGGTCATTCATTAAATCAATCAACGAATGTTTATTGGTATACTCCAATTTATAACAATAACTCATATGAGTGATGTCATGACAGGAAAGGTTTAGAAGTAGTTGGATATGATCGATCAGTTGATCCTCATTGTTTTATGTGAGTTCGTATGAGCAGACACTGGTGAGTCTGGTTGACTAACCTCGCGCTCATACCTCTTAGATCTAGTTTGTTGTTGTTGTTGAGAATGCTCGCCGGTGGTTTACCGTAGTAGTAGCCTATCACACATATCCACAATCTTGAGGTTGACTGTGTGGTTGCAGGCGTAATACCTGATGGTCTTGAGAACTGTAACCATATTCAAACTCTTGACATTGGCTCGTTGGAATGGCGGTAGTGCACTTCCATCGGCAGGTCACCCTCGAACAGGTACCTAATCACTTGGTGTTGGTTTGAATTGGCTGCGCCGTAGACACTTTGCATTGTTGGAAGATGTCTTTGTAGTTGTGCAGGTGTAATGCATCGATCATGTACAAGGCGGACAATGTCCAGTCTGCCATCGGCATGCCAAGTCCACCAACTCTGCAGACTTGTCGTCATCCACACTGATGTATCCTTTGTCAAAGAGATATGCCAAAATCAATGGGTTGATGGCTGCAAGAGATATTCAAACTGAAGGGATCACAACCAATGAACTTGTTTCTCTTCAAGATGGACAATACCAGTGGGACGAGATATTACATCAAGATCTCCACGTTTGTAAGATGACTCAATCATGGGTGCAATGTGGTGGACGCGCATTTCACTAGTCGCACAATCTAGGTCGCTGACGACATGCTTGTAGAGATGTTTGATCGCCAATTTAAAGTGTGCGAACGAGTGAATGTCTTCACTATTCAACAATGCGAGCATTTTGGAGAGCGACTTGGTCCTGGCCTCCTTGTTGGCGAACTCAATGATTGTTTCCTCGGTCACCGTGCTGTCAGGTATGCCAACCCGTTTAATCAACGAGCACAGCTCATTATAGCCGAGCTTGGTCTTGGTGTACATCTTTGATTGATTGGACATGAACTTCCTCAACATGTCCAGGTCACCTACTTCGCATGCTTTGAGACGAGCCTTTAGGTGGTTGGTGTGATTGGTGTCAATGTGCTGCTCCAACCATTCAATGACTGCCTTGTTACGTGACTTGATGGCCACTCCCATCAAACTAGAGAAGTTCCAGTTGATCTTGGGGTGAGCAATCAGCCTCTCGAGCAACTCCACCGACAAGATGCTCTGGTGAATTGCTTGGATATCAATTGTAATTTGATGATTGGTCGCCAAGTACTTTGGGTCAGTATCCATGTGATTGAATATGAAGTCAACTATGTCCATGCGTCCAATTTCCAATGCCTGGCTGAGATATAACAATGGATTATAGTGATGATCTTTGTTTGTAGATGATATGTGGAGTGAGTATAGTCGCTCGGTCAACTCAAGGTGTCCATGTTTCATTGCCAGTTGAAAGCACCGGGTGAAGTGTATTTTGGTCGTTGCTGGGATCAGTGGAAGTATGAGCTCAAGGAACTCCCTTTGTCCATACGTGCAACATGTATCAATAATTGTCTGTGCCTTGTCCATTGCCTGCTCCTTGATCAACTGCACCTTGGACTTGTCCTCCACAAAGTATTTGACGACCAGTGTGATGTTCAGCTCGATTGCCGCAATGAGCAGTTGAATCTCCAAGTCATGGCTGATCAATGAATGCTCATCCAGAACAACGAGCATATCGACAGCGTAAGGCTCTGAAAGCCAAATCTGATTGATTCTTGCAATGTTGTTGGGATTGTTGGCCAATGGCTTGAGGGTCCAGTTCAGCTTCATAATAAACTGAATGAACAATGGGTTGTGGACATGTAACAAGATGTCCTTGTCCAACTGGGGGCAGACCTTGCGACAGGTGATGAGCGTGTATAGCTCCACAGCCCACCGCCAGTTGTACTCTGTACATGCTGATACCTTGTAGATGAAGTAGAGTGATGGGGTTTTGTCGCACATGAGTGACATGATTGGGTTGCGCAGCAGTGCGTAGGTGGCCGTTACGTTAGCCTTGGACAAGGCACTCTCTAACAATGAAAAATTGATATGGAGATTACTTGAGAATGTTGTTGTTTTGTAGTACTTGAGAAACCATTCCGCTGCACCATAATTGATGTATTGAAACAAGCAATGTCTGTCAAGTAGCTGTGAACCTTTGATCACATTGGCCCCCAGTGACCTATGAACATTGGTAATGTGTCCCATGATAATCGCAATAAGCTTCCTGTTACCAAACACTGAATGAATCGCTGACTCCAATTGAGGATCACTCATCTTGATATCAGTGTCAACAGGTCTGATTGAGTTGGTGATTGAGTGAGTGGATGAATAAGTGATCGTTTGATTGAGCGATTGACTTACTTTGGAATACTATGATCAAATGGTGTGTACAACTTGGTCTGCTCCTGACATAACTTGATGATTCGATGTGTTCCTTGCACATATGCCTCCTCGATGATTGATTGGATGGTCACCAACTGATATGAGTTGGGCTCATCAGTAAAGTCAGTTGAGGCTGAGTTTCTACCAAGTTCCTCCTCGTCGAGATGTTGGAACAGATACTCGATTGTCTCGCGACATCCTGCGCCCAGTGCCACATCGAGGCAATTGTACTGAGGGCTTGGACCTGTGTGAAGTAGAGTCAACAGCTGCGCCGAGAAGACCGCTGCATATCGCATAATATCGACGCGATAATATGATAGGGATGATAGGAGCTGTTCGTTGTGGTTGACGATGAACTGGCAGACGATGTCGGCAGTGATGTTGCTGCCTGGCTTGCCCACAGCACGTACCAAGTTGAACAATGAATCTTCGCTGAATCTAAGTGTTTGTGCGCGGGCACTTGCAATCAGTCGTGCCATCGGCTCTGACATACGTTGACACATCTTCTCGAGCAAGTGCACTTCAGTAGCATCGTTCGCCATTAGTGACTCCATGCCCATATAGTCATCGTTGAGTATGGCCCCATGGGGCCTGACGATAAACACTCCCCCAGCCACCTGGTCGAGGTAACATTGCTTGATCATGTCCTCGGATGCTGATGTGATTGTGCCGTTGTCCATGTGATGTTGGACCAGTTGATTGATGAATGATTGGCGTCCATGCTCCAGCGCCAGCCGAATGTTGTCGACAATGTCATGATCTCTAAGGTAGTTTGAACCGACCACGGTCTGGCTCAACAATTGGAAGATGGCCACGTTGCCATGTTTGGCACATCGTCGAACACACTTTGCCAGAAGTGGTGCACTCTCTTTGTGGATACCGGTATCCACCGGCCTGTGGCTGTCGACACTGGCAACGTGCAGTTCGTCCGCCTGCTGCTCCAACACATCGCGATAGACCACGATGCGTTGCCCACTGGCGCCAATACAAATAAGTTCAGGAGACGTGGCGTCAGTGTGAGCATGCTCAATATGTTGCATGAGGAGTTCAACTGCCTGTTCTACTTGCCTACCGTGTGGCAGAGGGCGCTCACACACTCTATCAAATGCAACATGATGGATAGTGTGCAGTACATCCTGGACCACATGCCAAAGACTGAGAGATATTATGATCATTATACCTTTGATGATTACGACACGACAGAGCATATAAATCGCCGACATTGGGAATGGGCGGTAGGCTACGCCTGCGAGGTATCGTTTGAGAATGTCCAAGTTGCCATGCTTGAAGATGACAGTTGGCAGGGTCTTCATGTCCAGCATCATGCTACTGCTCTCGTCCAATAGATAGTTGAACACTGTATCGTTGTTATATGTGGCGGCTTGGAGCAACAGATTGAAGTCCATCGGGTAGTTGTGGGCAATGCTGTCAAACGCCTGAATGAACATGTGCGTAGCGTTGTACCTTAGCATAATGCCCAATTGGCATTTGTACAAAACTGCTCCCTTCATTGATGTCTTGATACCAGCATGAGGCAGACGATACCAATCGCAACTAACTTCATCGTCGTCGTCATCATTTGTGAGTCTTGGAGGGAGGTCTGACAGACTTATCCATCTATTGTGCATATCGCTCACATGTTTAAAGATTAGCTTGCACAACAGATGGTTGTGGAATACTAAATGTATACTTTCAAACATGTTTCCTTCTAGATATTATCTATATAATGTAACTTTCAATCATCATCTTTCAACACAACTCATTCCATTGGGCTTTACCTTAAATTGAGGCAATGTAATCATATCCCGAAATGGAAAGTATACTTTGCGACACATTGTTGTGTCAAGATAGTTATAACAACAACAAATAATATGTGTAATGCATGCACCTCTTGGTGAAGATGATGCTCTACATGTACTTGCTGCCAAACTACAAATTAATGTAATGTCCGAGTCCAACAAGTATCTTTCATGCAATTGATCCTGCCTACGACCAATCGACAAACAGTTGGATTGATCAATTGGACTAACAACATACTAACTATCAACCATCCATTATCTTTAAACATTCTAACATTACTATTCCCTGTTTATCTTTCAACAAAAAGAGTAGTAGGAAATTGGATGTAGTGTGAACACGAAGAATGTCAACTTCACTCAACCCCATCCATGACTTCATTTCAAATAAACTCAAATATCTCTGTTTCTCTCTCTGTCTCTACACTTTATCATAGATTTATATGGATCAATATTGTCAACTTCACAGTCATCTTGACCTAAATAACTTAAAGTTACATACTCTCAACAACAATAACAACAAGAGTGCGAATGGCAACGCTGCCCCTTCGGACAATATAATCAAGAAAGAAGAGCATCCTGAGGTATTATTCCCTCAAGCAACAATAACAACAATAACAACAGCGACCACTACATCAACATCAACAACAACAAGAAATAATGTTGATTGTTCACAATGTAGAAGAGAACAAGAGCTTCATGTGGCGGGAATACAGGGTCTTCACATTGAGAGACCAATACAGAACATTGCCATCAAGAGGAACGTAACAATATCATCACAAATAACATCATTAAGTCTACAAGAGCCAAGCAGTAGTAATAGCAATGGAAGTAATAGTAATACTGCATCTGTTGTAGTACCAATACATAAGCTATCAATGAGTGATAGTAATAGTAATAATAGTAATAGTAATATAAGTCAACACCTTCACAATTTGAATGTATCAACTTCATCATCATCGTCATCAACACCATCTACTACATCCTCTTCACAACAACTGAAAAGAACAGGTGGCAGCAGCAATAGCAATATAGAACTTAAGCGTAACAATGAGACGATGAAAAGTGAAGTCAACTCAATATCAAAGAAGTTGCGCAGGATGGATGTGGAGGATGAAGATCACATGCCTTACATATGCTAAGCCATAGGGTCGTCTATCATCCTCCCCAGTGCTGCTCCTGTGTATATAACATTCAATAAACTTAAACTGTCGCGCCGACAACGATGTCGCGCGTGCATGTCATCCATCAAAGTTAAAGAAAGTAGACTAGCCTGCCTATAAAGTCAGCAGGAATGATGTTTGAGAAGAGACATTTATGGATGATCTAAAGGAAGCAGCTTAGAATCTCAACTTGGAGAAGAACCACTTGGACTTTCCTGCCTTGTACCTATGATTGATTGATTGATTGGAGTGAGGTGAGATAGATGGTTAGTGACCATTCAATATGTTCAGTTAGCCACAAGGCCATCCATCACAACACAACAATACATACTTGTCCTGGAAGATCTTCTTGACGGCGTGCTTGGTGGAAACACGCTTGGCTGGCTTGGAGGACTCAACAGTGACGGCCTCCTTGATTCCGTTGAAGGAGCTCTCCTCGCGGGTCTCGAAGTTGTAACTGTATTTGATATTGATTGATCGATTAGTTGTCAATGGTCCTAAGATTGATCGATAGTCTATGTACAGGCAAGTCCTGTATAAATCGCATCGCTTTTGTAACGCTGTATGTATGCCTGCTTGTTGATTACTTACCGGGTTGGCATGATGTGGTTGTAGTTGACGACCTTGACGAATGGGGTGATCGAGATTCTCTTCAAGATGGTCTTTCTGTTCATTCTTCTGATGACTCTGCGTGGGTACTTCTCAATACCGGCAACCAGACAGTGACCATAAGGGCGCTCCTTGGATGGCTCATCGAAGGGTGGATATTGCAGTCATTTTTAAAAGTCGTCTTTGTTTATGGGGTTGTTCGTAATGTGATTACAAGACGAATGAAAGAGAGTGGAAAGATGTGATGATGATGTCGCATTGTTTATGAGATAAAGAACACACGAGACAAAATGCAATAGAGTCATAATCTTTCATACAAGCGGTATGAGTGATCCATACTCATGCATAGTGTCATTGGGATAGAGTAGACATGATAGATGATGTGTGTGTTGATCGCTAAAGTATGTATGATCATTCGCCTAAAGTGTATCTGTCTATTCAATCAATCCATTCTGATTCGTCATTCATTCATTCATTCATTCATTCCAACCTGTATCGATCGATCGATTATCGCATCGCTGTGAAGAGATAGAGAGTGGAAAGTGGATAGAGTGGAGAAGTTTGCGATTCTTATCATTGGTATTCTTTACGACAACAGCCTTGCGACCAGCGTACTTTCCGTTCAATAGGATGACCAATCTTCCTTGTTTAATGCTGTGTATGATTGATGTTGGTGAAAGATACATGGATTAGCTTGACATGTCCTTCATTTCCTTTCGCTTGTCCAGAGATGTATCCTGTCGCTGTCTATCTTTTGTCGTCTGTCGTCTGTCATCCTATCCTGTCGTCATATCATGTCAATCCAACGATACATACAACTTTTGCATCGTGTAGTGTCTCTTGTGATCTCGTATCGTAATGTTCCGTTAAACGAATGGTGATAGCAATGGAGGCTAGCGCGCTGCACCTTCATTAGGAGGTCGTGCTTGGGTGTGTGGCTGCACAGACATTCACTCACTCGCTTCTGAAACCAACAAAAAAAAACACTATTTATTTCAAATTAATAAAAATTCCAAAAACATATACATCTATTTTCGAACTTCCACTCATACATTCAATCGTGTTTGATGAGTTGTGGATCAAGTGATGGCAATGATGTGAGTGTGGAGAGTAGATGATGTTGATGGAATGGTATGGCGATGCTGTGGTGTGTGTCATCGATAACGAGTGAGAGTGATGTTAGTGTGCCAAAGATTGATTGTTGATTGAGATGATTGATTAATGAGGCCATGTGTGTGTCGAGTGATCCATTGATATGGCATCTTATCATTCTCTCCAAATCATTTAGATGAATCGACAATGATGTGATCGGTGTTGAACATTGTGGAAGCAATGTAATCACGTTGCTTAGGTCTTGGATGTCGAGGAACAGTGAGTATGATCTTTTGTGTGATAATGAATCAACGGCAGTGGCACTGGCAGTGGCACTGGCACCAATACGTAGGTATAATAGCTGGATCGCATCAATCTGGTCCTTATTGAATCTCTTCATTTCTTTTGGCTCACTGATATGTATGTTGGATAGGGATCCAGTGACGTAATGGAGGTGATCTGTGATGCCATAGTTATCCACCAATTTTTTCTCAACGTGGCTGAACTCCATTTGTGATCCAATGTGCAATGATGTGAGGTGGCCCTCCAAAGGACGTCCCAAGAATGATCGAAAGTTGATTGTCAATCGATTATTTATGGCTACATTCAATAATGTTGTCTTTGGATAGTAGATGTTTGAGTATGATTGAGTCTCAATTGTTTGAAGTGATGTTCTGTTGGGGCCAAAGTAATGTTTGCACAATGATTTGAACCAGGTCTCGGTCGCCTCGTCCTCATCATCATCCTTATCATCGCTGTCATCACCATTTAGATAATCATCATACAGATAGAATAATAATAGATTGTCGTCAGTGATATTCGTCCAATCGGCATAGTGATCCAGCTCCTCAATCAGTGTGATATGCTCCAGAGTATTCGCGCCTTTCACCACAATGTACTTTGAGTCGGAGTTGCTGTCATTGTGTATGAATGGTATGGTCACATGCCGCAAACGTTCCAAACATCGAGATAAGAGCGTGGTTGGGATGCGAACCAGATCTTTGGCATGCATATGAAGTGGCGTGTCCTGGAGCAAACAATATTTCGATCCAATATGATCGAGTGATGAGAACACTCTGAGTGACGGGAGCACTTGATTGGTGAGGGTCCAAGCACATGACTTGTGGAATTTACTGCTCACAGTTGCCAACTCCACCAACCAATATTGATAGTTGGTTTCTTTGGGGTCTTGATCTTGGATGGCTAATTGTATGATCATGTTGATAACTGTCCAAGGGAGTGTGGGCAGGTGCAGGCGCTTTGACTCTGACCTGGGGGGCAGGTAGTAAGCTTGGGCTTGAGTATGTAGTGTGTTGCTAAATGATTGACACTTGAATTGTTTGAAGAGCTTGCGTTCCTTAATGAACTCTTCATCGTCATGATTCAATGTTCCCAACAACATATGTTTGGAATGCTTGTAATTGGTGAAAAGTGGTTCGAGACAGAGTAAATATTTGAGGAAGTGGAAGATTGGTCGCACCAGCCCCACCATCATAAGATGTTGTTCAATCGCCACTACTTCCAGTGTCATGTGACGGTATGGATTTTTGGATGTTTGTGGGTCGGTGAAACGCTTGTTGTCCATCATGGTGTCAATGAATTGAATCCATGATTCATTGGGGTCGAGACATAATGTTTGAATGAAAGATAATATAGTGCTCCTGAGTGATGTCCTGTGAATGTAAATGCCAGGCCTCTGATGATTACAATATCCAAACAGGTGAATAAATCTTGAAGTGCCGAGCCAAGACTGTTGTATGCATCGAATGATCATATCGATGTTGCGCCACGAATCCATAAACTTGGAGTCACTTGATGCGGCATCTAGGAATGTTTTGAACTCGGATGGATATTTATGGACCACCTCTTGATTGAATGATTGAATATCAGTATGATCATTGATGACCATCAAAATCCGGAACCCTTCCTCTTTTAATGTTCTAATGTCGCTCCCAACCTTTATCAAGCCTCTTGCCATCTCTAAATTCTGGTAGCGCGTGAGAGCAGAGGATGACCATCTTCTATGATAGGTAAGATAATCAACCATTCCATTGGGCAGGGGTAGTCCACATGATTCAAAGCAACTTGTAATCCCATCCAAGAGGACAACCCCACCACGTACCATACCACCGAGAATAGATTGTTCGTACAAGTCGTATATCTAAATTGGACTAGTAAGTGAATGAGTGAGAGCGAGTGAGTGGCCGAGGGAGGCCGAAGCCTTACCTTGGGGAACTCTGAACCCATTTGTTTGATGACCAAGTTGATGATCTCATTCGTGCTAGATTTGATGTAGGTACCGAGTTTGAACGATCTAATACTTTTGAAGAATATATATATGATATGAGGTTGATTTGATGTCAATGCTTCCACTCTTTGTTGTTGAGCATCATCATCAATATCCATAAATATGCCAAGCTCTCCAAACTGAGAGTGAAGTTGCATGAACATCCTGTTTATTCCAGTATTGGGTCTCGGACCAATATGCTCATACGTTGTAGTGATGATCCTGATTGAGTGATTGGATGATTGTGTGAGCGGACAAGTGGCATATAGACCAACTTAAACTTACTCGAATGCATGTTGCCTGTACAGGACATTGAGATACAACTCTGATTGAGACTTGTCATTGATTAGTGCAAGGTAGAGTAGTTTGGCCAAGGTTGTACTAATGTGGAACCATGATGGTGGAGATGGCGCCAAGAACCATTGATTGAGCGAATGCTCCAATCGTTCTTTACCAAATATAGATGTGATCACATTATATGCTTTGTGTATATCGATGTAGAAGTGGGTGCCCATTGATTCTTCCTTGATATTGATCAAAATGGCAATGATCAAGTTGACATAGTGATTGATGATCTGGTCCATTTGATCATTATTCTGCTGCTGCTTCTGATGCTGGGCAAGATCATGAAGGAATTTTGGATCAAAGAGGAACCAGAGTGATCCATAGACCAATGAGATATTGATTGAAGCAATGTCAACAAGTGCCATCGTCACGTCAAACATTGATGTGGTAGTCAATCCATTCAATGCGAAGAACTGACTACCATTGACAATGTCGTGTTCCAATTGATGTATACCATATCTAACAAACTTGATCGACGCAAGTATCTCAATGATCAGTTTTCCAAGTGATGGGAAGTCTTTGAACAACTTGGAGGTTGAGCGAGTTGAGTGAGTGAGTGAGTGAGATATCAAAGGTATTCTGTATACTATACCTTGGATAAGATTGGTAGATCATTGATGATGTCAAGAGTACAGTGCAATCGAGTGAATACCTCAAGATCAGTATGAGAAGGTGTAATCGAGTCTCTTTGAACGATATGCCTTGCCTTCTCAGCCCATTCATTTGTTCGAGAATATTGTTGTAATTGTTGTTGTTGTAGATGAGTCATGTATTATCTATTTGTTAACTCATTGAATGAATGAATGAATGAATGAACATTCCCTAAACCACTCCCTCAACTCAACTTCCACAAAGTTGCAAGTTGTTTTGTTGTTGTCGTGGCGATAAATAAAGTGTCGCACACCTTGGCATTCTTTATTACATGATGGTGATGATTATGGTGACAATGGATACAAGTACAAGTACAATGAATGATGGTATGTTCCTAACTGCAACAGATAGTCCTGTTGTTGTTGAAGAAGTAGTGGTAGTTGACGACTGAGTGGAAGTTGTTGGCGAGTTGGTAGTGGTCGTTGGTGAGTTGGTAGTTGTGGTGGTCGACGACGGTTGAGATGTTGTCGTTGTGGTAGTTGTCGACAAGAGTGTTGTAGTCGATGATGATGTAGTTGTGGTCGTGCTGACTGGAGAGCAAGGTGTGGAGCTGTAGGTGCCACCGACCTTTGGACGAACGCACTCTAGATTGTAGCCAACAGAGTCAGATGATAACTCAATACGGTAGGACGATGCGCCAACAGTCACTTCGAAGCAGGTCAGGGCGCCAACACAGCTGCCCAGCTTGGTCACGGTGCGCGTGGCAGGCAGCGAAGTCTGGTTCTTGGCGGCGGTCATCAAGAACACTCGGGCATCGGGCGAGCTGACGGGTGCGGACTGGGAGTAGCGTGTGCGATACACAGTGTTGATGGGTGCCTGTGACTCAAAGGTGATGTTGCCATCGACCACGAATGAGGTCAAGGCCGACACGGACGCTCCAACAATGCGGCCGACGGAGGTGGCCATCTCGGGCTGTGCGAGGTCATTGCACTTTGGTCGGAGCTCAATCTCGGACTGACTGACCAACGAGGGTTCCGTGTGCCAGACCCACATGCCACACGTGGCAATGTATGTTGGAACGCGGTTCGAGTAGAAGTACTCGCTCACACTCACCGATTGCAGACGATCATGCTTGGTGAATGAGTCCACGAGGATGTAGTGGCCGCCTGGTACAGAGATGGCGTATCTTAGCATGCGCTTGAGCCATCCATCGGCACTCCTGTTGCGGCCAAACACATCGCTGCCGTCCAACTTGAAGTAGTCGATGGATAGGCCGTCGACAGTCTGGTTGAACTTCTCGATGGTTCCGCGCACCGGTGAGAACTGGCCCTTGTTGACAATGGTTGGCTTGCTCGAGTCCCAGGCATCCTCCACGACCATAGTACTGGCGCCTCCTCCTCCATTGTCCAACTGCAATGTCTTGTCATCCTTGGCGATGGTGCCGTATGACATGTCGCTGACGAACCTGCTGCCAAAGCCCGACCAGATGATGCCTCCAAAGTCTGACTCTGTGTGGGGGTAGCCGTTGTACTTGGCCTCCAATGCCAGGCCCGTGTAGCCCTCAAGCTGGCGACGAACATCGATGGCGTAGCCATTGTCAACAACGCGACGACGGAACATTCCATTTCCACCCACTGGATACAGTGATGCCTTGTCGCCAAGTGATGGACACTTGCGAACGACGGCAGACCAGTTACGCGCCATCACAGGGTAATAGTCGTAGCCAATGTCAAAGCCCGAGTTGAAGTAGTTGTTGATCCAAAACGCGGCAACAGCACATGGGTCGACGTTGGCCGTGCCCACCTGGAGTATCTCGCGAATGTACATTGAGTAGATAGGTGTGAGTGAGCCATACTGCGTGATGTGACTGTCACCAAAGTCCATTGTCAGGCCGTCCACGAGGATGGCATCCAGGATCCACTTGTAGCTTGTCTCAAAGTAGTTCCAGCGGGGCGATTCGAGGTGGATGCCAAAGGTGTTGCTGATCAACATGTCCATCTCAATGATGTTGTCGACGTTCATCGATGTGTAGTGTGCCAGACCCTCGACAAACACGCCGTCCGACGCGATGGTGTAGCGAGTGCGGTACATCACGGAGAGGATGTCCGTGAGCAGACCCTGCGCAAGTGTACTGTTCTCATACCAGCGAGCAACAGACAGGTAGATGGCACCAGAGGAGAGCACGGGCGTCCAGTTGTTGCCGTTCCAAATGTTCCATGAACGGTTCTTGTAGTTTCGACGGAAGTTGGCGGCCATCTCATCGATCTTTGATGAGACTAGTGCGCGCTGGTCCACGGCCAGGTCGTTGTAGAACAGGTCGTAGAAGACACTCCAGTACTTGCACGGGCCTTTGGAGCCGAGGTCAAAGCCAAAGGGACCGTAGCCATCACCATAGTTGGGGTCAGACCACACCCAGTTGCTGAACCAGGACAACTCCTTGGCAATGAAGAGTGGGACCAGGGCATCCAGGTCGGCTTGGGAGAAGTAACAATCATTGCGACCAAGCGCAAAGCATGAGCGCAGGAAGCGTATGACGTACATGACGTTGAGGCCATTGTTATACTGATTGTACTGGTCCCATGTGACCGTGCCATCAAAGTACTTCTTGGCAAGGGTGTGCTGTCTGAGCGTGGCGACACGGTTGTTCCTGCACGATGAGCCAGAGAACAGGACTGTCTCATACGAGTCCCTGACACTCTTGACGCCAATTCCCAGTGTGGCAAGGCTGTCGCATGGCAGCGTGTAGAATGGGTTGACCTTGGTTTGCCAGAAGTATGAGTGATTGCCAAAGAGACGAGGGCGCGAGGGGTCTGGCAGCGAGTTGTAGGTGAACTCCAGACCATTGAGTATAGACACGGATACGATGCCAAGGGACTTGTGTTCGTAGATATAGCAGTTCTGGATGGGCTGAGTTGAGTCGCACTCAGTCTTGTAGGGATAGGTGTTGAAGGCAAAGATGACCACGTCGATCTCCTTAATCGACGCGTCCTTAAACTCGGAGGGCAATTGGATATTGAGCTCGGGGTCGTCCAAGTATGGACCCATGATCATGTAGCCACCTGCACTGGGCGTTCCAAGCAGTACCCAATAGCCCGCGGCAGTGGTCCTGGACCATTGTCCCTCGATGCGAAGGTTACACTCGGGAGTCGAGCCACTCATACAGGGGTTGCCGCCATACGCGTAGAGTTGGAAGCCACCACCGCGGCGTGGGTCAAGGTTGATGCGCAGACTAAGTGGTTGGCCTAGCTCGGAGCGTGGTGGTACGGGGAAACGGAACTGTGCCCATGTAGGATTGGCACTAACAGGGGTCGTGTTGACTGGTTCGCGCTTGTTGTACAACACCATCACATTGTTGGTGCCTAGGCCAACGCGACAGGCAGTGGCTGCGCCATTCGCCTGAGTGGAGCCGTACTCTATTCCTTGTTGAGGGAACTTGGCAGTGTTGGGCAATGACAGACCACAGGCATTGGGTGTCCATTGACTTGCAGTCAACGTGAACGTAGTGAATGGATTGGATTCAAAGCTACTAAAGTCTGCGCCAATGTAGGTCTTTGGTGGTGATGGTATCGAAGAGTTGAAGTACTTCAATATGCTATTAGTGAGTGGCGTTAGTCATGTGTGTGGGTTGGAGTGCGGCAACTGTTACCGATGTGTGGCCGCATAAAACTTTAATGCGGCCAGTGTGAGCTAATTACTTACTTTGGATCGATTGAGTCCCAATTGGTAGTTGATGGTAATGCACTATGTACACATGATACACTAACAAGTACCAACAACAATAACATTAACATTGATGATGAGTTCATCATTGTATACTGACTGATATAGATATATTTATCTCTATCTAATCATGTGATTAAAGTAATGATGTTCCGTCGTTGAAGATGATGATTAGACATGATGAAGATATGTTATGAACCTTACTTATGCGATTGAAATGATGATCGCTTTGATGCGCAAGTTAATAGCGCGCCTGCCCGTAGACACCTTATAAAGACACCTCACATGTCTCCAATAAATCATGACATCACAAAAGACAAGAGGGTCGCATGTGGCATGTGGCTGACCAAACGGTGTTTGCCCAATAAATTGATATTATTAAATAAGGTGAGCCGGATGATCATCCGGTCCATGGCCACGCGGCGGACCCATCCACCACCTTTGGGTGGGTATCTTTAGCTTTGTTGGATGGATGGTTGGACTGTTGATTGTTTGCATGAATACGGTTGGGTAACGGTCACATAGATGGTTGGACACAAGAAGCTGTTTGGTTTGGACACTCCGAGTGTTGGCTGGCTGGGTGGATGACTGGCTGATCAAGCGTGCGGGCCTTCTTGATGGTGATCATTGATCACAATCATTGTTGTGGTTATGACTAAGATTGATCATTGTAAAGTATCAATCACCATCGAGCAGTTGTCGACGATTCAGTGAATGCCAACCAAGGGAGTAGTGTGTGAGTGATCGATTGAATGAACATCCTGCCTCGAGAGCATTAGTTGGCATTAGGATCAAAGTCTTGGATGTGAACATTCGTCACCTTGGTCACTCTTCTCTTCTTCTCTTTCTTCTCCACTTGCTTCGCCTTGATGGTACGCGCAGTCTCTGCAAACTCGACCAGTGACAGACCAGCCTCCTTCATGGTTGACTCGAGATCGACCTCCTTTGGCATCACAATGTCCTTCCACATGTTGACAAGCTCAGCGCTGACGGGTATCCTGTAGCGCTCGTCATTGTAGAACAACATCTGGTCGTCTGCCTTCTCGTTGTGCTTGACGACGAAGATCTCCTTGGCATCGCGCATCCTGTTGACGTCCTGCTCGATCTGTCTGTATGACTCGCGCAGCTCGCCCATCGTTATGCCGTACGGGTACTTTGAGAGAAGTTCGATGATGTCCTTTGGGCTCTTGACATCAAACAGCGGCTTGAAGCACAGTGTCGTATCGTTCAGGAACTCTATCTTGGGGTTGGCGCGAAGACTGTCGATCAGCTCCTGGTTACCCTCGATCCTGTGCGGTGTCGATGCCATCAGCTCCTCGAATGTCGCTGGCTCGCCTTCAAGCGACTTGAGATGTGTGAGGATGTCGTAGACGACACGACCAATCGGTACATTCTTCTGCTGTGACACTGCCGCCGACGACGACATATACGTCGCCTTTGTAGCCGATGACAGCGGTCTCTTCTGTTGTCCATTCAAGAATGATTTGCCATCACCAAATGTCTTCCTTTCTGTAATCTTCTGACTATCCATTCTATACTCTGTTAATGTTTTATATGTAATGATATGTTGATTATTGGTTGTTGTTGATGGTTTGATTAAGTGATAGGATGGATGAGTACTTGTGATGTCAGTCAGAGTACTACTATTGAAGAAGACGATGAATCTGTCTCAATGTTCAATTATCACTTAATCATTCGATTGAATGAATGGGTGAGAGAGTGAATGAAAGTGAACAGACCTTGTTTTTGAAGTTGGAAGTTGAACCTGAAGTGGGGGGAAGGAATGCACACTTAGTTAACCCTTGTTTATTCAAGTTTCTTACAATACTTACAAACTCAAAAGTTTAAGTTTAATCAGGCAACAAACATTCTAGTGAGATCATGATCAAGTTCCTTTATTGATTTATGATCATAAGCATAAAGGATATACTATGGTCAAAGAAATAATAATACTAAAAGGAAGATGATATAGAAAACCACAATGTTGGAACATTTCCAACTCGAACTACTAGGCAAGTAGATAGTCTTATCAGCAATCTCCAACCACTAAAGTAATCCCCAACCTTTATATATTCCCCTATAACATACTATTAATAATCTTCATTCAATTATTCGTATTGACCTACGTTAAGATATGATCAACTTGATTATCACGAATAATAGGTTACAATGATCAACAAATACCTTACGACCAAGCACCCAAATTTGCTCACTGTTTACTCCAATCCTCCATATCTTGGATTTATCTATGACATTCTCGATCTTGTCTGAGTCCTCTTCCTCAAGTGTAGTCTTACCTGTGAGAGTTTTCACGAAAATCTTCATGCACTCTTGTTTGTTTGATTGTTTGTATGTTTGTCATCTTCAACTTGTTAGTCATTATCATCATATACATAGTCATTGTCCAAGAGGATGAAGTAATCGAGGGTTTCACTAAACTTGCGCATCACTAAAACACACAAAAAAAACAAAACAAAAATACAAACTGGGCTGAGTTATAGTGAGAACTCCTCATACTTGGCCCACCAAAAACACCAAAAACAATTCTCCACTCACCTCTTCCTCTTCCGCCTCCTCCACACTTCAGCAACAACACAATAACAATCATACATCATCTTACTAGTACTATAAATCACTCACTCACTCTCTCCTCACGCACTCCCGATCCTCGCCTCTCTCCATCAACTCTCCATCATCTATCTATCAATCAATCAATCAATCAATCAATCAATCAATCAATTCATCAATATCAACCTCTTCACTCGTTTATATTTGTACAATACTATATACAACATTATCTACCATTATCTATACTACCTATCAATCAATAATCAATCATTCAATCTATTAGCTGTTCATTTAAGAATGTACAGACTCATCAAGAACAAGATGGAGACAGGAGTCAGGATGGAAGTACCTGGAATCATCCAGGTGACTATGGTGGTGTCGGACCCCTTCCCTCCCCACCTCATTGATCGGCAGCCGCCAACACCGAGCAGCTTCTGCATCAGGGGTCGGACTAGGCGTCAAGTTCTCCCCGACGCTCATGCGTACGCGCGCAGGGTGATTTATCTCTGATCGGTCACCCATCAGCTTTGGCAACGACACATGTACAGCTACCTATTGTATACAGTTCCAGGAGTTCATTGATGGAGCAGTCTACTCGTTGTCAACAACGGACTTCCATCATTACTCATTCATTCACTCATCCATTCAATCAATCAATCAATAAGCCAACGAGACAGTGACGAACCGATACCCGCCAATACACAAGGGGGGAGGTTACCCTTGGCCGTCTTGCGGCAATAAACATCATCTATCTATCTGGATTGTCCGTACATATACTGTGTCGTTGCCACTTATATTATTAGTGATACATCTTCAACGTCATCCTCTACATATAGCTTGTCAATGATTGAGCGCACATAGGTCGAGTTCTCGGGACCCATGTCTAATGCAATCGTCAAGCTCTCCATGGCCTGATCAAGGTTGCCCAGCTTCTTGTGCACCTTGCCAATGAGAATATAGAGTGAGATCTCTTTGGGCGCGATCTCTTTGAACTCCTCCAGCTCCTGCAACGCCTCTCCATACATCTCGAGCGCGTATAATATGGTCGCCTTCTTGAACTTGGCCAATGTGTTGCGTGGCGATATGTCGATCGCCTGCTGCAGCTCGATCAATGCCTCGGGATAGCGCTTGTTGCTCTGTAGTGTCATGCCCACGTAGCAGTAGAGCACTGAGCTGGTTGGGTTGATTGAGAGTGCCTTCCTAAAGTGGTACTCGGCAGCGTCGTACTTCTCCTGGCGGAAGTGGATCAGGCCCAGTCCGTACCAGGCATTGTAGTGTCTTGGATCGATCCTTATCGCTGACCTATAGCAGTCCTGTGCATTCTCCAAGTCGTCCGTCGAGAAGTATTCATGTCCACACAACGTGAAGGCATAGGTGAATTTAGGATCCAGTTGGACAGCCTAATGATCATGATTGATTGATTGATTGATTGATTGAATGATTGAGTAAGTCATTGTCCATCTCCCTTGATCCAGGCTTATTGACAACATACTCTCCTGAATGACTTGAGGGCTGACTCGTGATCCTTTTGTAAACTGAAGCAGTTGCCAACGACGCACCAAGCCTGCGCTGATAGACGATCAAAGCTTGTCAATTGATTGGCCAAATAGCTCATCTCCACTTCCCTATTGATTAGTGATGGACGGTGTCAGTCGTGCTCCTCCTTCACTCCATGAACATGGTCAGCTGATCGCGATGATGAGATCAGCTGACAGCTATCCATACTTTTTCAGATGCCAGAGCACTGTTGAATATATCTCCACGCCTTCCAGTCGATATGGTTCCAGCTCCCTCACTTGTTCAAACACTCTGTTTGCTTCGTTGTAGTCCACCATCTCAAAGTATGCCTTGCCAATCAATGTCATCACCCATCCTGTATTATACTGTTCATAAGGCAGTGCACCAAAGCATTCGATAGCAGCGCGGCATGAGAATCTAATTGGTTGTGTAAGTATATATAGTATGATTGATTGATTGAATAATCATGATATACATACTTGCATAACAGTTGATATGCCTGTGCTATTGTGTGCAATAGGGAGAGCAACTCCGTGTGACCGGCAGTGGTGGATGGCACATCGGAGATGTCGCTGAGTGTCAGTGGATCGGTAACAGAGTCGCTGTCTTGTATATTAGTATCGATCCATATCTCCTCCACGCCTCCTATTTGAACATGTTTTGTTGTTGTTGTTGTTGCCGTCGATGTTGTCGTTCCTTCATTCCTCCTCTTCTTCTCCATGTCCACATCTTCATTTGTCTTTTGTTGTTGTAGTTGTTGATGTTGAGCAGTATGTTGCTGCTTTGATTCAAACATGAGCATCTGCTCATTGAATGGAACACTGCCATCATGAGTATCCTATCGGTTTGATTGATTGATTGATTGATTGGAGGGGATGTTAGCCTCTGATGGGGCGAACCAGGCCCACGAATCCAGATGTACATACATTCCTCTTGTCCTGGAACTGGTTGGGCGCAATCTTCTTTCTCACCTCTGGCAGCCGACCAGCTTTGGACGCGACTTGGGGTGATGGTGTTGTCAGTGGCGTGAACTGGAGGTTCTGTGGCTCAAACTGATGTTGTGGACCGGGCGTATTGAACATCTGCATGGGTATTGGCGAGTTGACGACCTTTAGATTGCGCTTGACTGGAACGACGGGCGTGACGAGTGAGTTGTTGTGGATCGTGTGTGAAGGTGCGCCGCTCATTGGCGTCTGGCCTGGGAATAGTTGTGGCTGTGGCGTCATGTCAAAGTTGAGAGCGCCCATGCCCATGCCTGCCGGTGTACGCGTCGCGCCCATGCTGCTAGACATGGACGAAGAGCTGCCGTGCAGGGCGGCTGATGTAAAGTGTGACTTATGTTGCTGTTTCCTTGGCGCTTGATGTACTGTGGCGTGGCTGTTGCTGGCCAACATCATCCCAGACGACTCGCTGCTCTTTGTACTGATTGATTGGAAGTCGCTGCCAGCCGTCGTGCTGCTGGATCGTGTGTTATATGATCCCACTCCAATGCTGCTCATCATGGTGCTGTCCTGGCCTGGACCACCGGCCCTGAGGGGCGGCAGGGGCATGGCGAACTCGACCGACTGGTTGTGCTCGAGCGAACCAAAGAACACGGCCGGGTCAATGTCGAGCTGGCCGAGATTACAGAGCTGCTCGTAGGCTACCCACATATAAGGGTAGAGTAGCAATGCCTGCTGGAAGTGATCGATAGCCTTGATTCTTTGATTGAGTTTGCGGGACACCAGTCCGGCGAGATAGTGCACGGTTGCTCGACTGCACTTGCTAATGCGCTCTGTTGTTGAGTGATGGTGATGGAGGTGGAGTGGTGCGTCGGCCATCGTCTCCAAACACTGCGACAACAGTTGTTCGGCCTCGTTGTATTCGCCCAGCTCGTAGCAACAGATGGCCAGCAACTGCATCGACTTGAATGACAGAGTGTCTGGCGCACGATGCTGCACCAGTCTGAGAATGGCATGTGTCTGGGCAATGTTTCCCTGTCTATAACAAATGTTTGCCAACATGAAGTTATTAGCATCCGTTGGACTAGCTGCAACCAATCTCTCTGCCAAGAACATTGCATTGGTCATCATATTATTTCGCAAGCAGTCATCTATACATTGTTGCAAGACCACCTCGATTGACATCTCTCTCTCTCTCTCTCTATCTCAATCTCTCTCTAATTCAGCTATATCTATACTACTACTACTACTATGTATACAATAAGTATCTCTATCTGTATCTGTATCTCTATCACTGGATGATGCAAAGAGTATCGCCCACTTTAGTTCATTCATTCAAACACACGCAATGGTGTGATCTTCTTCTTCAAAGTTTGAATTGTGTTGTCTTCCACACTTTGGCGCCAAAGTCCAAAGTCTTGTCTCTTGGGGCCCATTCATTCCTTCTCAAACAAGTACATGCATATTGAATGATTATCTGTATCATTCTCAACATTGATATTGCATAACATGTCAACATTGATTGATTGATTAATATACTTTGACACATTGATCTTGCGTGTCACTCATGACCAAGACTCGTCTGATTCGTTTCGCGCGAGATCTCCAAAGCATTCAATCAAACAATCAAACAAACAAACAAATACAATACATAACATACATACAAGTACAAATACATATAATATAACAATGTCATTGTCAAGTAGAATTGATCTACTTAGATTACTGTGTAGACATGCTTCAGAGAGATTGATATCACATTATATGATGTTGTCTAGGGTGGCCAAACCTGCATTGACAACAGAACGTTTGAACAAGTTGGATAGGGTCATAGAGAATAGGACGGATAGAGTTGTGATAGTATGTGAGATGGTCAAGACACCTGGTAACGTGGCGGCGATCATCAGGTCATGCGAGGCAATGGGCATTCAACACGTGCACGTTGTAGACGATCAGCCTTACGAGACATTCAACGACATTGCCAAGGGCACGGAGAAGTGGGTGTCGATACACCGCCACGAGACCACCATCGAGTGTCTCGACTACCTCTCGCGCAATGGATACAGGGTGTGGGCGTCAGACCTCTCGCCCGGCGCCGAGGCATTCGATGAACTCGTGCGCAAGCAGCCCCCTCAGCACAGCATCGACAGCAACTACAGCACAACAAGAGATTATGGACGCATTGCCGTCGTCTTTGGAAATGAAGGCACGGGCGTCAGCGACGAGATGAAGCAATTGAGCGACAAGAGAGTGTTCCTGCCAATGTGTGGCATGGTGCAATCGTTCAACGTGAGCGTCAGCGTGGGCATGACGCTGGCCTACCTCAAGATGCAGGGCGTGCTGGCGGGCACTCTATCACCGCTGGAAAAGGAGCGACTGCGGGCACTCTGGCGGATCAAGTCCATCCCCGACCACCACCTGTACTATCAACGCTACAACGTACCCGATCACCTACAAATGTTCTCTAATAAAGCGACGTTACCATTTATTCCGGCAGCGTCTTTGTCGTCGTAGAAGCATGCCCATCTCGAGGCGTCGCGTCGCGTCTCGTCATGAGTTTGAAGGGAACACATTGAAGAAATGATATACCTCGTCCTTGTCGTAGACAGCCACTTGTGTATCGCATACTGCACATCTAACAGGGTTATAATGTTCCTCTATGACATCTACCTCCTCTTCTTCTTCTTGTTCATGGATGTCTGATGACCTGTTGTTCTTGGCGTCATGATGTGACTTGACCTCCTCCTTATGTACAAGTCTTGAAGTAAAGTCCACCTTGCAGTTCTTTACAAACATTGCCCTGTACTGATTCTTGTATCGATCATGTCGTTGACAGTCTGCGCACAACAACGTAAAGCAACAAGGACAGCTCAAATATGCATCTGATCTACGATCTTGATTGATTGAGTCAGTAACACGAATGAACGAATGAATGAGTAGAGATACATACTTGATCTATTTAGATGTGTATCGACCCATTGTTGATTCTTGTCATCTTCCAACTCGTCGTATAATAGGTCATCCTTGTCTTGTTCAGTCAATGTATTGTTGACATCAGTCTCATCCAACAGAGCATTGTCATCTATATCACTTGCAACATCATCATCTGCATCACTATTGTTGTTGTTATTGTTGTTGTTGTCGTTTTGATCATGATGATGGTCATCGTCTTTAAAGTTCATATTATAACAACATTCAATTCTATCTATCTCTTCTATCTGTATCTTCGCGAAGCATTCATTAGAATGAAAATGAACAGAATTGATGAATTGTCAAAAAGTCGACAAGTGAAGTTGAACCTTGAACTTTATTCATTTGTGTTTGAATCATTGTATTTGTAGATAATTTTAAAGATAGATAGAATGGCTGATACAGATAATACTCAATCATCATCAACTGATGATAATCAATCAATACAACAAGAACAAAAAGAAGAGGAGACGACCACTACACCAGTTGTTGTATTCAAGAAACAGACAAAGAATAGAGGAAACATAAGAAAGAGAGACACAGAGACAACTATACTTAATGATCAATCACAAAGTGTGGATGCCGCAATGTCAATATCAAGGTCAAAGACGGATGAAAACAATACAGATGGAGGAGGAGATGGTGATACTTCAAATAAGAAACAAAGACATACTGCTGCCAAAGTCAATCAATATACAACAATAACGGACAAGAAGAATGATTTCTCATTCGCTTCAACAGGCTCCGCCAAGCCATCTTACAGTGAGGCCGACTCTTCATCAACACTAATCGAGAGGGAGGACAACAATGAGAAGAAGGACGAAGATGGACCAACAAACGATGATGGACTATACCGCGGCATGAAGTCGTACAACACATTCTTTGAGAAGAAGTCCGACCTGACGTACAAGGGCGCCGGAGTCAAGGCCGGTCCCATCAAGGTCACCACATCAAACTATCGATCGTCAGTGCGCTTCGACTTCCAGCCCGACGTGTGCAAGGATTACAAGGAGACGGGACAATGCTCATTTGGCGACACGTGCAAGTTCTTGCACGACCGTGGCGACTACAAGGCTGGCTGGCAGGTGGAGAAGGAGTACGAGGAGCAACAGCTGCGGAAGCGCAAGGAGAAACAGAATCAAAAGGAGGAAGAGTTCAAGAAGGCCACTGGCGATGACGAAGAGCTTCCATTCGCCTGCTTCATCTGTCGCCAAGAGTATGACAATCCCGTCATGACCAAATGCAAACACTTCTTCTGCGAGAAGTGTGCGCTGGATCACAATCGCAAGAGCAAGAAATGCTTCGTGTGCAAGGAGGCTACACTCGGCACATTCAGTCAGCCCAAGAAGATCATTGACAAGCTGATGGAGAGATCGCGACAACATTTTATTCATAAACGAGAACAGGAGGCACAAGGGCAGGGCACCTAGGCCATCTCCTTTGGACAATCAATTATTCATTCATTCATTCATTTGGTTACCTGCGCAGGAAATGAACATTGAGTGAACCACTTTGGGTGGGCATTAGACTTGGAGGATCTACAACAAGATGATCATGTCGATTGGCATCAATGTCATTGGGCATTGGTGAGTGGATGACCAATGTGTGACTGGAATCAATACGTCGCATGTGGATGATCATCTTTTTGGAATTGACCATCAATCTATATGTTGTAACATTGCTGGGACACATTCCAATCTTGGTCGACCAAGATCTCTCCTCTCCTGATTCGTCTGCTGGAAGACAATCTACCCACTCCAATAGTGTGTCAAGATGTGGACATGTGCCCAAGAGTCTGGTCCCTCTGCGGTTGGAGTTGAGTCGATACCTTGTCGTTAAGTTCTTGACTGATGAACCCTTGACATTGATATTAAGATGCGTCTGACTGGACACCGCCAGGTTCGTTACATTGTTGAGGTCGCGTCCATCATTCACTGTGATGTTATTTCCCAACACAAGTGATGTCAGGCTGTCTGGGATAGTGTTGGGATTGAGTGGACGACCGAAGCTCAGACCCAAAGTCTTGAGTGAGGGTGGGAAGCAATCTTTGCTCAATGGCTGAGAGAAGCAATTGCCAAAGGTCAGCGATGTCAGATTGGGCAACAAGCGAATGAAGCCTATTGGCTGATTGAACTTAGAGCCAAAGGTCAATGTCCTTAGATTCGTTGGGAAGACATCGTCCATCATCTCTTGGTTGAACTCTCCACCCAAGCGCAGACTCGTGAGTGATCGTGGAAGTGAAGAGGGATTGAGCAACTGAAAGCTGGAGGGTACTGGGCGTTGGCTCCTCTTTCCATAGGTGAGCTCAGTGAGTAACGTTGGTAGTGAGTGCGCGATGATCGGTTTAACACAATAATTAAACATCAACAGTGTTGAGTTGGGCAATGTGCTAGGATGGATAACTTGATCAAAGTGAATGCCCAAAGTCAAAGTCTTGAGAGTGCTCGGTAGCGCACCGGCAATAATCACTTGATCAAAATGTGATCCGAACGTCAACGAGATGAGCTTGGGCGGCAACGAGCCTGGCTCAATCGGTTGATTAAATGAATCTCCAAAGGTGAGCTGAGTGAGTGTTGTCGGTAGATTATACATTGGAATCGGTTGATTATAGTGCATGCTCAGAGTCATTGATAGTGATGATGGCAGATACTGCTCCCTCTGTGTATTGACATAATCATTCTTGGCATCTACTGATAGTTCAGCAGAGTAGTAGTGTGTCCATAATGGCCTACAAGTCAATCCCAAGCAAACCATATCCACAGGGTCATTCAACATTCCAAGTATATACCTCCACAACCTTATAGGTAGTTGATATTGTTGTGGTTGGTCCATCTCTATCTCTATCTATTATCTCTTATCTCATTCATGTTGTTGATTTGCATGAATGAATGTGTTTGGTCTGACTTCTTCAAGTTTTCAAACTTCCATCCCTCGATTCATTCATTCAAGTTTGAATCAACATCCAATCAATCAAACAATTAATTAAAGAATGACAATTGCCAACTCGATAGGACATGGTCATGTCTCATCACCATTGGAACAACATATTGATCAGGTGAAGCAATCGGTCAATGCTCATATGCAAGCATCAGTTGAACGTGTACAGAATATAGAGAAGGAACAACATGCATTCTTACAGCCATTCGAGTATGTAATTCACTGTACTAACAATATCAACAACAACACTAACATCAACTGTCACACAATATGTAGAGTAACAACATATAGACACTACATTTGTAAAGATGTTGAAGATACATTGATACAATGTCTGCGAAAGGAGAATGACCAATTGAACTGTCACGAGGCAATGAACTCATACTCAAAGTGTATATTCGATCAATCAAGCAGGCAGAAATAGATATATATAGATAGATAGATAGTATAAGTTATATGTTAGTTAGTTAGTTATTGGGATTCAAGTCCCCTCAGACCGAGTCATTGAGACGACATGTGCGATAATAGTAGTAGTAATATGATGTGTCAGCCTCATCCAACTAATAAAGGTGCACATAGGCAATAGATTGGTAGCAATCAATCAATCAGACAACTCCTCTAGCTAGCTACCCTCCATCATACCCTTACCCTTCACTCCTCCAGTCCTCCTCAAGTCAGGTCATACCCCTTTAGTGCACAATGGCATGTCCATCAATCAATCAATCAATCAATCAATCACCCAACATCATGTTATATTGATGATATGGAACAACTCAACGCAACTCATATCGATAATGAACAGGAAACAGAACAGGATCAGTGATGTGGAATACGCGCATTCACACACGCTACACAACGCCTTCAATCAGTGAGCAGTTGTTGTTGGGGGGTTTGACATTGACATACACATGCACCACATCCACAACTTCCACATCCACACCCCTACTACTACCACCATTCACTACCACTGGTACCAAGTAAGTAGGTGCTGTTGCCACCATCACAACCACTACTGGTGGCAACATCACATCCATCACAAGATATAATATTAATATTTATATTATATATATATATATATATATATATTATAATTATAATTATTAACAAACCAAACATCCATCAATTAAGGGAAGTGTTGAGTTGGAATGATGGTCGTCATATGAGGTGAAGGGAGGATCGAATGGACTCGCCTGGCAACTTGAATTTGTGTATGGTCAATGGTGCCATCATCAACCTTGTATCAATGGCTAACTGTCCTGGCTGACAGGATGGATGGCTGATTGAACTACTACTTCTAGACTCAATTTCAATCAATTAATCAATCAATCTAAACAATCAATCAATCAATATAATCAATCAACTATACAAACTTACTCAATATGTTATCGATTACTTATAATAACAACAACCCCTATTACCAACATCTACATCAAGATAATGATGCCAAGAGTAGGTATTTATGTCGAATCTTCCATCCATTCATCTATTCAATCAATCAATCGTTCGGCTCATGTTCCAGGACGATCATCCTGCTGATTCTCAATCAATCACAAATAAGACCGACTGTTCTTTGCCAATGTTACTATCTATCTGTCAGTCTGTCGGTTTGTCATCAGAGCCAGCCAACTGTCAGTGATTGATTGATTGGGTGGATGGTTGTTGCTCAGAAATGAATGACAAGTCTGAGAGCATTAGTATTAGTTTTGTTTGGACCAATCAGGTCGCTCATGCACCCCATCACCGCCTAAGTCCAGGCCAGCCCATCGACGGAATCCAACCCACTCGCCTAACAAACAAGCTTTAGATTTTGATTGTGTGATCGAACCAATCAAAATACAGAGGACCTAGGTCGGATGCGCGAATCCATCTATTTTGGGCAGGTCTGTGGCCATCACTCACGGCCCAACGCTCATCATGTTCTCCAGTTTGTGGTTGTCGTTCAGTGTCGCAAATGGTGCGGTGTAGTGCAATGTGGTGGGCTCGCGAGCAACCCCGCCCACTGACGTTGTTGCGAGGTGATGGCAAGGGATGGTTGGTTGTTTGATTGGTGAAGTATGTAGGTCCTTCATTCATTCAAAGACACTTGAACGAATGGGCATCCATCCCTGTTCATATTATTATCCCTGCCTCAATCATCACACCTGAGCCCAACTCTGTTCACTCACTCATTCATTCAATCAATCAACAAGTTACTGCATTTGGTGATCATTTAACCAAGTCATGTTGTTTGAAGGACTACCCATCACTGACCCTTTATATATACATATAACATAACCATTAACACCTCATCATCCCTCATCATTGGAATCATTCCATTTGCTCATTCTCACCCGAACTCGATCACTCACTCAATCAATCAATAATAGAGTCTCTGGAAATTGCCCATCTTGGACACATGATATCTCCGACGGCATCACATCATCAATCATCGTCACCACCGCCACCAACTTCCATCACATCAACCACTACTACCACGACCACATCAAACATCACTTCCCCTTCCGCATCATCATCATCAATCAATATGACAGACAACCCAACATATAACAAGTGTCTGCCCAAGATACTCTCGGACCAGGACTGCGAAATGCGAGTCAAGCAGGTGCTCAAATGCCTGGAGCTGATGCTGACCGAGGCCACATCCAGCAGCGACACCATGACTTCGCCCGCAATGCTCATGGCCAATGGCACACCAACTGGGCTGAGTGGCAGTGGAGGAATCAATCCGCCTGGCAACAACAGTTTTGGATCATTCAAATTGCAATCACCAATGCAGTCTCCGACCTTTGTCGATCGTCAAGTTCCAGTGGCTCCAAACAAAAAGGCGCGCCGTGGCTCTGATAGCCATCATGGTGGCTCGCCGTCCGAAATGGAGCTTCACGGCAACATCAGCAGCAGCAGCAACAATCTACATCTTACACCAAACATCACGTCACTCTCACTCCAACAACAGCAACAACAACAATCACAAACACCTCTGTCACCAAAGAGAGGTGCAGCGAACAATCATTCATCATCATCAACTACATCTTCACCAAAGAGCAAGGTCAGAGTCAATGTTGCCAGATCACAAGATATAGTCCCTGGACCAGACAATGCTGCCATGGCCATGGCCACAACGATCAGTCTTGGTGCCACATCACCCGCCAGTCTTCCGACCAACCCCCTGTCCAGTCCATTGATGCAGATGAAGCATCATCACTCTCAGGATCATCTTCCGGCTGTATCCAATATTGGAATGGAGAATGGTGCGCCCACTCCACAGTACTCAATGGCCAACCACCACCATCAGACACATCAACATCCACAACAACATCAACAACAACTTCAGATGATGGATGATGGAAGACGTGTAATGTATTTGTTTGATCATAATCAACAACAACTCCATCAACACCAACAACATCAACTGCAACAACAGCAACAACAACATCCAACATATCTGGTGCCCATGGGTGGACATGAACAAAGACGGCATTCATACAATCAATATGGCAGTACGACATCATCAATGGATGGACTATACTTGCCCGACCCAACAATGCTGGAACAAAGAAGACTGTCCTACAATGGCTATGATCCAAATCATCCAGCTCATCAAAATCTACAACATATCCAAATGGTCTATCAACAGCAACAACTACATCAACAACCTCCACATCAACAATTCCAGACCAGCCATCCTTCCATTCAACACCAACATCAACATCAACGCCAACAACAACCGGTCATGTTCAGACAGGACCCTCTCCCACCAGTTGTCGAACACTCCTCACCACCTACAGTCTCGCCAAGTGACGATAACACCAAACATTGTAAAGACTCCCAACAACAACAACATGTACATGCTTCATCTTCCACATCGTCCACATCGACCACATACTCGGTCGTGGACAAAGAGTTGCCTTTGCCATCCACCTCCAAGCCCTCCGATAAAGAACATGGCGCCACATCTCGGGATACGACTACAACAACAACATCCTCATCACAATCGTACACAACAACTCCACTACTTAGTGCTGTCAACTATGAGATAGCTGCATTGTCCAACAACCAAAACAATAGTGCTGGTGCTGGTAACAATGACAACAATAATAACAACAACAATGGTGGAGCTGGCAACACTGAAGAATATGGATGGATACTTTCATTCTTGGACATTGACAACAACAACAACAACAATAATAATAACAACCACAACAGTAATAATAACAGTGGAAGTGGCAACAGCAGTAGTAGTAACAACGACAACAACACCAACAATAACCAACCGATATAATAAACATCCATGTACATCAATATCAATGTATACATGATCATTAGCGCGCTATGTTTGCTTGAATGAATGAATGAGAATATTTATGTTTGTTTGTTTGGGTTTGCAGCCCAACCAAACAGATACAACTACATTACAAAGTATTTACACAATGATGTATCATCAAAATTTACTTGATTGTTTGTTCAAGCTCATGTATTACTTGTAGAAGACGACGAAGCTACACTCTCATTCCATTCCATTCAATTCCCGTCGCCATGCCAACAACAACAAGTTGTCACTCCTTTCTCTTTAAGTGTGTGGGTGTTGGCGAGTGGGTGAATGCAAAGATGAACATCACCAGATCTGCCTTACATAACATTTACACAAGTGTGTAATTTCGAAATTTCACTTACCGATATCAATTAAAATCTATTTTTTATTTTTTTTTGGGTTAAACTAAACTTATAATTTTTAATTTATTTTTGTTTGAGTGTGAGCGTGGTTCGTGTGGTTGTGTCGCCTGAGGACCGAGTCACTCATAACATGTTCACTTGCTTCACATTCATTTTGTTTCGTTGCCCTCAACAAAGGTATGTGTCATATCTCTTTCTTCACTTTGGTTCACCTCACAACTCTCGATCACCTTCAACATCAACAACACCCTATTCAACAACAACAACAACTACTATACAATACTACAATCAATCAATCAAACAATCAATTCAAACGATCTCAACTCAACTTCATTTGAATACTCAACTTGCAAGTTGGGTTGTTCTATCATATTTCTTCATTCTATTTATATATTACAACAATCAATCAAACAATCAAGCATGTTGTGTGTTTGTGCTGTCGTCGGTGTTGAGTGTTTCTGTCGATTCACTCCTCGTTGACAATGTTTGATATTGTCTCTTGAATGATGTCGTGTTTGTTGTTTGTTCACACTATTCACTCATTCACACCATCAATCAATCAACGATCTTCACACTCAAATGTGTGTGTTAATGTGATTGTTCAATTTGCTCGTCGTTCAATAGTCTTTCAACTCTCTCAACGCGCAAGTATACTAACATAATACTTCTATTCTATTTCCCATATTCTTTCTTCCTTTCTACCTACCTTATCCCATAATATTTATAATTATTTCTATACTTATATTATTATTATATTAATATACTATTATCATTATTATATTTATATATTCAACAACCTTATACTTATAATATTAATTATTATTAGTCTATCATTAAAGATATAATACCAACTTAGCAAACATGGGAAAGGAGAAGACTCACATTAACATCGTCGTCATTGGTCACGTAGATGCTGGCAAGTCCACCACCACCGGTCATTTGATCTACAAGTGTGGAGGTATCGACAAGCGTGTCATCGAGAAGTACGAGAAGGAGGCTGCCGAGATGGGCAAGCAGTCCTTCAAGTACGCTTGGGTCATGGACAAGTTGAAGGCCGAGCGTGAGAGAGGTATCACCATCGATATCGCCCTCTGGAAGTTCGAGACCAGCAAGTACTACTTCACCATCATTGATGCCCCAGGCCACAGAGATTTCATCAAGAACATGATTACTGGTACCTCCCAGGCCGATTGTGCTGTCCTCGTCATTGCCTCCCCAACTGGAGAGTTCGAGGCTGGTATCGCCAAGAACGGTCAGACCCGTGAGCACGCTCTCCTCGCCTACACCCTCGGTGTCAAGCAGATGATCGTCGCCATCAACAAGATGGACGAGAAGTCCACCAACTACTCTGAGGCCCGTTACACCGAGATCGTCAAGGAGACCTCTTCCTTCATCAAGAAGATCGGTTACAACCCAGAGAAGGTTGCCTTCGTCCCAATCTCCGGTTGGAACGGTGACAACATGTTGGAGAAGTCTCCAAACATGGGCTGGTACAAGGGACCAACTTTGCTCGAGGCCCTCGACGCCATCGTTGAGCCAAAGAGACCGTCTGACAAGCCACTCCGTATCCCACTCCAGGATGTCTACAAGATCGGAGGTATCGGAACCGTCCCAGTCGGTCGTGTCGAGACCGGAGTCTTGAAGCCCGGTATGGTCGTCACCTTCGCCCCAGCTGGTCTCTCCACTGAGGTCAAGTCCGTCGAGATGCATCACGAGCAGCTCACCCAAGCCACCCCAGGTGACAACGTTGGTTTCAACGTTAAGAACCTTTCCGTCAAGGATATCAAGCGTGGTATGGTCGCTGGTGACTCCAAGAACGACCCACCCATTGAGACTGAGAAGTTCACTGCTCAGGTCATCATCTTGAACCATCCAGGTCAGATCCACGCTGGATACGCCCCCGTCCTCGATTGCCACACTGCTCACATTGCTTGCAAGTTCTCCACCATCCTCGACAAGGTCGACCGTCGTTCTGGTGCCGTCATTGCCAAGGAGGGAACCGGTGAGATCATCTTGAAGAACGGAGATGCCGCCATGGTTGAGCTTACCCCATCCAAGCCAATGTGCGTTGAGACCTTCACTGACTACCCACCTTTGGGTCGTTTCGCCGTCCGTGACATGAGACAAACCGTCGCCGTCGGTGTCATCAAGGGTGTGACCAAGAAGGTTGCCGGAAAGCCAGGTGACAAGAAGGCCGCCGCTGCTGCCCCAGCCAAGAAGAAGTAAACCGTTTGGCTTTGTTTCTTATCCTTTAGTCCTCTAAATAAACAAACCAAAATCTACCCAACAATATCTGATTGTCTTGATTCTTTCTGATCGATGATCATTCCCTCAACATAGTTCAATCTTTGTCTAAAGTATGATCACCCACCCTTCACCAGACAATCATTCACCGTTCATTCAATCAATCAATCATGGTGGACACTAGTTGTATCAATGCTGTGTTCCACAATCACTTATTGTGTGACATTATCTTTAGACATGTTAGTGATATACATCAGAGATGGATCAATCTACCAAAGCCATCAATGAGCGACAACACAAGTGGTAGGACAAGGATAATGTCGACGACCAAAGGTTCAAAGCTGTTCAATTCAAGTCTCAAGGATATGCTCCGATACAATGCCACTCATTTGTTCATTGAGACATTCGACAGGATCACCAAAGATCACCTTTACCAAGACATCCACAGCGACAATGACAACAGCGACACAGTAATCAACTCACTATTGATACAAGCGGCACAATACGGCAACACTGAGGTGTTTAAATATTTGAGCGAACATCGTCAATATCACTCAAACAACCTGATGAACATTGTTATGCCACCCGATGTCTTGTCCAAACATGGCAACGCATACATACTGCAGCGATACCTCGAGGAGACTGCCTACCGACCCATACTCAACGCTGTGAGGATGACCGACAACACCAAGATGTACCACCTGCCTTTGGCCATTGACAGTGGCAGCATCCAATACGTTCGTCTTTTGCTCCAACATCTCAAATTCAATCCCCTCGTCAGTGAGGACTCGGACTCGGACCCGGACCTTGTCTCTGACTCTGACTATGATATGGACCACGAACCCTCTGACTCTGACTCTGGCTCTGACTCTGGAGGCTCTGGCTCTGTCATTGTCTCAAATGCTTTCCAGTTCAAGAGGCGAGGTGTCAGCGTGGAGATGCTGAGGGTGCTCCACGAGGAGTTCAACAGTTTGTTTGGTCCAGATAACAACAGGACGGTGTGGCAAGCCGTGTTGATACACTCAGTCCATTGCAACATGTTGGACAGCGTTCGATACATACTTCAACACATGCCAGCAGCTGGCGTGTCACAGGACACACTGTTCACGTGCCTAGAGGAGTGTGCCAAGAGTGGCAACATCGACATCTTTGAAGCATTCACCTCCGGGTTGCCAGCCAAGTACTTCAAATCCTTTTACTTCAATAGCATCGTGTCCAAGGCCGTGAACAATGGTCATGAATCATTCATCAAACAACTCTACATCAATCATCCCATCGTGCCCAAGAAATTGTTGCTCCATTACCTGCAGATACCTTCTGGGGCCACTCTCGACAATGTAGACATTAGCCAGGCGAAGCTTACCGTCACCCCTTTGGCGGCCATTCGCCACGATGACATTGTGGCCCTGGCGCACTCGCTCACACTTACAGGATACAAGATTGGTAGGATGGACAAGGAGTTGTGCCGACAGATGTCCGAGGCGATGGCAAGTCGCCTGTCAAGTCCTACCAAGGAGGACCGCAAACTGAAGTTTGACAAAAATGTCCAAGATCACAACAATAGCTCACTCATCAACTTGATCAAGGCCATTGGCAAACCAGGCAGTAATATCACCGAGGACATCGTGTGCGACTTCATTGCCAACTGCAAATCAACATCGACTTCATTCCAGAAGAAGGCCATGGAGGTGGCTGCCATCCGCTCACCCATGATCATGATGGAGCTCCACACACGTCTGGGCATCCAGTTCTCATACAAATGTCTGGCCAATGCCATCAAGCACAAACAGTACGAGGCGATTGAACAACTCATAGCCAGTCTGAATCCAACCCAGAACCTCAATATGATCATCCGTGCAACATGTTGTATGATACTCGGCGTGGTCAAGGAAGATCTCTTCTCCATGTTGGAGACATTCTTTGACTTTGAGAAGCCAATCGACAATGTCGATGACTTGGAGTTGTTGACCAACTTCATTTATCGCTCATACATTGGTGATCGTCCAGACATTATCCAGTTGCTCAAGCAATGTGTTGGTGAGCATTCTGGTCCCAAGACAATGCAGTTGTTCATTCCCGAGCTGTCAACACTGTGCTCAATGGCCAAGCGCAATGCATATCGTTCACTGAACTATCACTTCAACTCTACCACATTCACCAACATGTCCACATCGATTCGATTGAGAACACTACATTCAATCCTCAATGTGGCCTATCAACATGGTGCGCATCGAGTGATCGAGATGTGTAACGATCTCATTAAGTCCAACTCCTCCCCACTCATTCAATCACAATCGTAAGTTGCGTTGTTCAATCAATCACTCGCTCTGGAACCATTCCACTCATTCAAACTCAATCAATCAATCAACAGGAGTCAGTCCACACATATTGATCGTCAGTCATCACAACGAATGGACACATCATTCCACTTGGTGTTCAGAGACAGGAGGATTGGCATGATGATAATGGGACATGTTGGACATGTTCACAAGTGCACTTCAAATTGTCAATCACCTCCAATCAAGGGCGCACAACTACTGGCCAATAACAGTTTGATTGATTATATCAGATATGGCACAACTGAATGGTTCCTCAAGGCATACTCCATGATCGACCCCAACAGCATTGGCCACAACACTTTATTGTTGAACGAGGCTATGATCAGGTGCAACACACGTGTCATCGATGTACTTTTGGCCAATCCCAATATGTCTCTCCCACTCAATACAGAGAATAAGAAGACGCAGTTATTCTCCGATCAGTTCATCAACGCAGTGTCACAGTGCACTCATCCTGAATGGGAGCGAGTGTTTGATGAGTACTTAATGATCACTGCTCAGACCTCACCACTCAGTCTCAGCCAAAAGGTTTGGTCCAAGGTCAGCCATCCATTATTCATTCGCAAGCTCATTAACGTTGGTGTCGAACTCCCCAAGCTCAAACTCAACGACGTGGTCATGGGCAACTTGACCAAAGCATGGCTCAAGGACAAGCCATGGGCATTGGAGATGCTCAAACTACTGATGGAGCGCTCGCTCATAACATGTAAGACATTTATATTCCAGCTGCTTCTCAAGGCCATCAAGTTCAACGCCACACCAGTCGTCCAACACTTGTTGGAGTTTGTTAGCAACACTCAGTTCTTGAGGAATGATGATACCTACTGTGATATCATACTGTGGTGCGGCATGTATGGGCGTGTTGAGCACTTGGACATGCTTTACAAGCTGGACATGGTGTCATTGAGCAGCTCCGATGTGCAGGTCTCCCTTCGCGTGGCTTTTGGTCAGGCAGCCATTGGTGGACATCTTGCAATGGCCAAGTTGTTGCACACATTCATCATGTCCATCAATCCCAGCGGCAATATACAATATGTGATTGATCACTTTCATACTGTATTGGCCAATCGACACTTGGACATGTTGGACTTCATTCTCAGCATAGTGCCAATCACTGAACAGGTCAAGATCGATACGATTCATCATCGTGTGCTATCAGTTGACTTGATTGAGCGATTGCTACAACACCCCAACAACAACCTCAGACTTGGCCAAGTGTTGGCCAGTGCGATAAAAGGTGGCAACAACAACAGAGAGGTAGTAGAGAAGTTGTTGATGTTGTTGTCGGGACAACCATCAACAGACCACAACATCGTCAATTACAATTATCACCCTGCTCTGAAGGTGGCCGCTGAAAAAGGTGACTTGGAAACGATCACCAGACTCATGGACAATGAGCCCACTCTCAGGCTCACTATCCATCACATTGGAGCATTGGTAGACCGTGTTGGCACTCACAATGGCAGACTGACCGATGATGATGTCATCGAGTGGTTGACCACCCACCCGGACAGGGCACCAAGGTTCACAAAGTACTTGTCCAAAGTGTTGGCCAAGGCTGCTTCAAAGTCACACAAACTGATCAAGTTTATTGTTGGGCAAGTTGGAGGCAGACTCAGACCCAATCACTTCAAAACGGCCCTAACAGTATGCATGGAGCGAGGCGATATTCAATCAATGGAGTACATCATTCAACTTGCATTGAAGTCCAACTCAGCCCAAGTCGAGGATGTGGACCCAATGGATGAGGACGAGGATGAGGAGTACGACCCTGAGGATGAGAATGAGGAGGACGACAGGGTAGACCACAATTTTGTGTTCAAGATAAATGACATCATACTCAGTTGGAAGATGTCATGCAACATTGCATCACTAGAGTATCTATTTGACAAAAGATATGTCGGTGTTGACAAGTCCCAGTCTGCCCTGCAGGAATTAGTGGACGAGGCATGCAAGTCTGGAAGAGTGGACATTATCCGCATGGTCCATAAGCATTGCGCCACACCATCTCAACTCCAAACATACATACCATCAATGGAGTCCATTTATGAAGCATCGGACAACAACCATCATCAGGTACTCAGTTATCTATTCGAGGGTGTACGAGGTAGCTCATCACCATTCCAGATAGCAGAGGTGAGGATGGACATGTCCAAGCTGCTCAGAGCAGTTCGTATGCATTCCTGTACCAATGGAAACATCAAGATCATCAAAATGTGTGATCACCTGGTGTGCTAAGCTCAACATAATCAATATATCCAATTCAATCATATGCAATCCATCAATAATGTTATTTTTGTTAACAAACAATCATGTTGGAGTTGGTTGTTTGATTGCATGGCAGTTGGGTATCCAAGCAGATTCCTCCGCATTCACCATTGGGACCACGAGGTAGGATGGTCGAGTTTATAGTGCTTACATTACATTCGTAGTAGGGCGTGTTGATGGAGCACTCAGCAACGGATATTGCACAAAATGATTCAACTTGGCAGTAGCAAATAGCACAAACCATTGCATTATACTTGTATGACCAGGTGCCAGCGCACTAGGTTGGTGGTCCAAAGGCAGTGCCCCCACATCCGTAGGTGTCTCCAGTTGCTGGGTCTTGGCTGAACGAAAGAGATGAACTACATTCTGGAGTGGATGTTTTAAACATATTGGCTCCACAGTATGCTAAATTGGGTTGGCAGCAAAAGACTGTATCGTTGGGATTCTTGGAAACTATTTCTCCATGATTTCTTCCCTCATCATACAATCAATAGATCAATCAAATCAATTACAATTAATTTTGATTTAATTCCAGTTTGGAGTTCAAGTCCAGGTTCTTATCCAAGTCCTGCAATGGAAACACATAACAACTGTAAACATTGATACTATATGTCAGCATAACAACTTGCAAAGTTAATAGCCATGTCGATATGTTTTTTTTTGTTTGTTTGATTTACGTATTATTATAATTATTATCAAGATTATTAGCTCGCCAATCGATAAAGTAGTTGGGAACATAGGTCATATGTATAGAATGCCACTGCTGATGTTGGAATCACCTTGATATAATTAATGCTCAATCCCTATTATTGATTGGATTTGATTGACCAGGTGTTGATTGATTGTTTGATTGAATGTGTGTTGGGGTCAGTCATGTGATCGATCAATCAATCAAAGAATGGGATTCATGATGGATGACATACCTTGTATAAACTTAGAAATCCTTCCGCCTTGACTATCCTGTACATTGACCTGATGGAGGAATGCTTCAGATCGATCTCTACTTTGCCATCGCCAAATCCATGAGTCTGCATGCGGCGACGTACTACTTCGAACGGATAGGACACGGTCTGTGCCACACCGCCAGCAACGCCTCCGGCAAACAGTCGGAACTCAGCCTTGAGCGAACCGTCCTGATTGTAGCCACTGTATGGTGCGTTCATCTTGAGTGTCTCAAACATCATGAAGCTGATGCCAGCATACGGCAGGATGCCCACGAGCGTTGATTCAATGCCTCGATACAGTCCGCGCACGCCATCCTTCTTGAGCGTGTCTGCAAACAACTCCTTCATCGTCGTGTATTTGTCTGGTGTCACCTCAATCGCCAGTCGCGCACGGATCAAGTCCAACGGGTATGTTGCCAACACGGCAGCACCTCCCGCCACACTTCCCGCGAGGAACAAATTAGTCGGGGAGAATATATCCTTCTCTGTATTGAGCCTCTGTTTGATTGATTGATTGATCGATCGAGTGTCAAGGTGTCAGTCATGGGTCATCCTCTCGCTCACTCACTCGCGCGAATGACATGTACCTTCTTCATGTTCTCGTATGTGAAGAACTGAACAGCTGCATAGGGGAACACTCGGGCAATTGTGGCGTTGTTGCCTCTCCACAGACCTTTGAGTCCTTCGGTCTCAAAGATCTTGGTGAGTGAGCCAACGACACTGCCGTGTGAGTAATGCTGGCTCCTGATCTGATAGAGTATCTTTACACGCTCGAGGGGCGCCACGATGGTCTTGGCAGTGACACCTGCCACACCACCTGCTATGAACGGTACCCACTTTGGACCATTATCCTTCTGTTCTTGCAATCGATGTGCTATTACTTGTTGTTGTTTGTATCTTCTTTCGTCCTCTTGTATCCTATCTAGATTTCTAGACTCGACTGTACTTGTGCTGTTGCCTTCATATGAGGTTGTCAACTCTTCATCTGAGTTGGTCATGATTTGTCTGTTCTGTTGTTATGTATGTTATATATATAGTATATGTATAACAATGATCGATCAAACGAATGAAGCACACTGACTGCAGTGCACTCATTCACAGCATTGATGATCACTCGAGTTTGTGTGAAAAAAAAATAGTCGACTCTGATTGAACACACCAATTGGTAATGATGACGGAGACAACGACAATGACACTGGATCATTGGCCCAATCAATCAATCACTCTATCAATCACTCAATCAATCATAAAACGACAAAGACAATGACAAAGACAAAGAAGAAGCGATCAATCAATCAATAAATCAATCATTGATTCATTCATTTATTGTCTGGATAATCGTATCCACACTTTGCCGCTGTTGTCCTTGTTGCTGTTGTAGCCAATTCTTCATCGGATGACGTGATGGTATCAGATGGAAATGATATATCCATTTCATCAGTGTCATCATCAGTCTCGTCATCATCATTATCTCCATCGTCATTATGTGTTGTTGCGGATGGCTTATATCTCTCTATCAATAATGGACAACTATTGGATGTGAAGTAGAGCCCTGACATCTCGTTGCTCTCGCCAGTCTCTCCTTTGGTACATGTGTCGCGCCACTGTCCCTTTGTTGTCAATGGCGAATGAGTTATCTTCATCATGGTTACATTACTGCTTTTTGGATCGAATGATTTGAGTGACTGGATGAGTGTGTCAATGTTCTGGCTGTCCACCAGGTCCAACCCGGCGACTGGAATTCCAACCTTCTTGGCGCCGGCCTTGACCAACGCTTGAAGTGACATCTCTAGACTTTGTTGTGTGTCGGCAATATATCCAACTTTGTACAGGTCCACAAGTAGCAACTTCTGTGTCAACGAGTCCTTGAACAGGTGAGTCATCAATGCGCTTGCCATCACAGCTGTTGAGGGCTTGTGAACGACTGGTAGTCCACCAGTTACAGGTGACTCCTCAAAGATACCAATGGCTGGAATTACCATTGTTGTTGTTGCGCTATTAGATGATGTTGAAAGAGTAGTTGCCGATGTATCCAACCCACTACAACGTAGTAGTTGTGTTATGTCTATGTTTGAATCGGCAGAGATGACGACGGCCTGAGCCTTGATCGATAACTTATGAGTTGTACCGTCATGTGATGTATAAGTCGCCTCCACACCAGCTGCTTTGGGTGATTGTGTATTGTCGCTGGTCACTTTGTGAACGGATACATTGCCAATGGTCTTGATGGTACCCTTGTTGCGTGCCCCAATGTTGGGCGTACTGCTTGATTGAGTAGTCCATTGTCCGGCCAATCGTCTGCTGGAGGCGAGGTTGATGCTGACGTTATAATCATCGCCAACGATAACCTCTTGTTGTGTGTCGGCGTCAGTCTTGCCCTCCTCTTTGAGCTCCAACAAGATGACCTTGTGGCCAGCTGCCGACAACTTGTCGGCTGTTGTGCAACCATCTGCTCCGCATCCAACAATGACCACATCTGCGCATATTGAGGTGTCTTTACGAATGTCCATTTTGTCTCCTCGTCTACCGCTTGACGACGGACCATATTGTAGTGCCATCCAGTTTGGATTGATTTCTTCTTGAGGCACCAGGTACAGAGTGTATATCAAAGGAACTAGTGCATTGAATGCTTGTCTTCTCATGGGAATACGTGAGCACTTCATATTGGTCAATATCTGTTGACGTTGATATATTGATAACTCGACAAACGGTGTCAACGAGTCTGTCAGCAACACTCCCATTGGTGTACACAACAGTCTAAGCAACCATTTCACATGCATCACCTGATCACCTGACCATCCCTTCACCATCATGCCGATCAATCTACTTGCAATGTTCATGTCCTTTGCGGGTCTAGTTTGAATCATTAGTATCATCGTTGATTGATTGAATGAATGAATGAGTATGACATACCTTGCAAAGAACTTGTTGACATCGTCCTCTGAGCGATGGGTCAGGGAGATGTTGTGCTTCTTAAAGAACTCCTTTGTTATTCTATGACTGGCTATTACAGAGTCACATAGTATTGCTAATGCTTTATACTCTCTTAATGTGAATTGACTATTACCCGACTCAACATACAACTTCAAATCATCATCTGTCTTTATATTGCTTCTCTTCCATATTGTAACAATTGTTCCTACTATTGCCACACCAGCCAATGTTAACAATGTTGTGATGATACTAATCAAGTCCATCCTTTATCTCTCTTCCTCTCTTTTCTCTCTCTCTCTCTTTAAATATATATATTATTATGTGTGTAATATATAGTTATGTATGAGACAAAGAATAAGATATAGAATGTAGATCTAAAGGTCATTCATTCGTTAACACACCACCATCCCTCAACTTGCCAACACTACACATTAGTATTTGTCGTCAACAACACGACATTCATTTGCTCTCCCTCACTTGGCAACACACATTCATAATAATAAATATTGCCATTCCCAGCAAATGGGGTAGGTCAGCATCCTTGCCTCATTTGCAAGAGTGCTCCAATTGTTTACCACTACAATTATTCATGAATGAGCGAGGGTTTATTTGTAGGTCATCAACTTTATGATTGATAAAGTGAGTTGAAGCATATCTATCTATCTATCTCTAAGGTTGTAATGGTCAACCTCCCAGGAATTATCTGTATGACACAAAATTGTACAATCATCATCAACCAGGGAATTGTAATGATGACCAGACTGGTTGTAAGGATGCGACCTTACTAACTCAATCAACCCATGATGGTTGAAATCTTAAGGAAGATTAGATATTATTGAATGTAGTAGTAATTGGTAAACATTACTCACATTAAAACTACAAATAATTATTTAAAATTTAGGAAGATATTTTAAAAGTTAAGATGTTGGGAATGTTCTTGGGATGATTCACCAATTAAGGTGGTGGTACCAAAACTACAATACACATACTCATCATCATCCATCTATTGATCCCATCCCATTGGATAGATATTTGGTAGAACACATACTACAATAACTTCTTCTTCTTTTTTTTTCCCCAATACCCATGATTCAGAGTAGACAAATTTGCCCATTTAGAGATAAAGTGGTTTATTCAACCCATCAGTGTTCTCAAACCCATCAACACGACGTTGAAAATTGTGATCACTCAATCCTGGATGCTCAGGCGCGACCCGACAGCGGGTCAACCCCACTTCCCCCTATCATAACTTAAGGCCTCCTACAAAAAACAAAACGATGATGATGACTAAAAAATATCTTTGCTGCCCTCCATCTTATGATTGAGCGTGTTTGGGCTTGGGATGGTGGCTCGGTGATCACCAATTTTGATCATGGAAATAACCGTGGTCATCCGAGGCCACTACTTCACACATTGCCTTTGACTCTGCAGACATCCTTCACACCCAACTTGAAACAACCCTTGTGTTCTGTGTAGTTTACGTCAACCATTCCACACGCCACCAATGCATTTGCAAAGGTTGACCTGACCTGCCTACTTCTACCTCTCGTCCAATTACTACCTATTTTACCTACCTCTATCATCGGTTTGTGGTCCTTGTTTGATGCTCCAATACATCATCTCTACAACCACCCGTCATCGCCAACCCTCATTGTAGGCTACACCTATATATTTTTGATTTGTTTGTATTTTTGTGTGATGGCTAGCTGTAGTAGAGGCTCTGCTGCTCACACTACACATGTGACTCTCCGTCTAGACGACCAGATATTTACACTCAATATCTTTCCTATCTTATCCTTTTTTATATATTTATACATATATATCAAACAAATATTTATAAATTTATCTCTTTCCATCTCCTTTATTTATTATATTTATTTATTTATTTATTTAATTTACAACCTTTTCAATAACCTTTTCTCCAGAACAATCAAACAATCAATCAACTAACTTATAAGTTCAATCAATCAAAAAGTATGCTTCTTTACACCAATCCATCTTTTGTCAATCACTTAAAGTGTTTGTTTTATTTGTTCCATGGTCCAATCCATCATCCACCATCACTCCAATCATGTCAATCAGTCAATAGCATTCATTCACTCACTCAATCAATCACTTCATCAATTGGATCATTACTCAACTACATTCACAATGATGGACAGTGATTTGTATTCATTCATGTTGTGTAGTATGTATTTTGTTTACAAAGGTTGTGGGGGAGTGAGAGAGAGAGAAGGCGATGGATTAGTTGCATGTTCGGTGGAAGGTTCTACAAAAAATGAACCGTGGATGTTTGAATGCATCATCATCATCGTGTGCCTTGGTATCTCCCAAACCCATTGTGCCCCTTAATATTATTCATACATTATTATCTTGAATATAGTTTTGTTGTTTGTTGGACCCAACAAATCAAACAGATTCGTGTGGTAGTGTGTGTGTGAGGTTCATTCACATTCAATTCATTCACTCATCTCATTCGGCCCGTCAATTCCATGTTCACACCCCACACTACATGCATACCCCATATCATACCTTACCCCCATAAGCCCGACTCATGGCTTGCATTGTTCCCAAGTCAAACACACCCCCATGAATTCACACACACAGATGCGTCAGTCAACATCCGAGGACTGAGCCGTCAAATCTCAAAGTGGTGGTGGCTACTACAACTACAACTGTAGTAGTATCGTTAAATTAGTACCCTCCATCTTTACGCTTTGTTTGAGCGTCGAGATCCGGGCCTGTTTGTGTATCTCTTTTAGCTCTCTCACTCTTTAACTCAAACATGTATTGTGGTTGGTTGGTTGGCTTGGGTTGGTGGTCGTTGGCCTCCGAGGCCCTACTGGCTCTGACAATATCGGACTATCCGTCTTTTGGCAATTGTTGTTGTTATTGCAACTTCCCAAGACAGAGTCCATTCATCTTTGTGCAGACAGTGTAGTAGACTACTACGGCTACTACATCTCATCTTTATATTGACTTTACTTTACTTTTGAAACACTATCCATCCATCTCATCTTTTCAATCTCTCGCACTCATCCTTGTAAATATAAATATTATTTATAAACATTAATTATTATTATTATATATAAATTATTGTATATATGTACAGGAATCCGAATACACACCAGATCATTTAGTAAACTAGTCATCCATAACCTTTATTGTCCAGCAACACAACACTCACTTCCAAACTCATAATCGTCGACGAATCTCGATTCATTGGACTGGACTTCAACTTCCAGGTCACTTCAACACACACGATCGATTGGACTTTGACTTCCAAGCAGGGACCCTCACCCATATTCCACCACCCATTCACTCACTCACTATCAACTTCATACTCACACTCTCAATTTGGATTACTAATCGAATCAAACAATAACAAACAGAAAGTACCTTGCTTCCAATCTATTAGACACTACTCGAGAGTACACTTATACAAAAAGGTAAATACCCAACCGCCACCATAATTGCGATTGTCCATACACTCCACACACTCGACAAACCGTGCCACATGCACAAAAGGCATGCCTTATTGAGATAGAAAGGCGTGCGATCGCAGCCACCGCGATGATTGGTCCAAAGACGGACAATCCTGTTTTCAGGATATTACCATATTTGGAAATTCCATTTAAGATGAAGGGCTTCTTGAGGCCCTGTTGTGTTTTTTAATGTGTGTGTGTTTGTGAATGTGGACCTCTCCATCCATCCATCCATCTATCCATCAATGACCAATTAATTAATAATATAATATATATGTTTAATGCAAATGTCGGTACTTGTAAATGGGTTTACCAAGTGTGTACCGATGTGCAGACTACCCAACCATCTTATAAGTCCGGACTCATTTACACATTCATAAGGCTTTACGTAACTTGTTTCAAGTCCTTCAGTCAGATAAACACATAATTCGACTATTATAACAACAGTCACTTTAACACTTGTGTTGAAGAATTAATACTTCATCATCAACTTCATCTTCAACCTCAACTTCAATTTATTTATTTATTTATTATTTATTCATTCATTAATTAATTTCCAGTCTTTCCAACAAAATATCTTTTATTTTTTAATTGTAGTAATACTACTTAGAGGTAGAATTCGTTGTGATACATTCAATCCTTCATTCATTCATTCATTCAGACAACTTGGCCATCCAAGCCTGCCCATTAAAAATACCCTGCCAGTACTCCTCACTAACTATTATTTGTTGGGCATCCCTCCATCTTCATTATCTTTGGTAATCCATCGTCCGTACATTCATCCAGCCAGCCAGTACCCATCCAGTCCAGACCAATCCATCCATCGCCTATTGGAGAGCACTCAGTTCAAGATTATATCCTTGAAGTATTTTACCTTTTCATCCTTACCATCCATCCATCCATCTTTTTAAAGGTAAGTCAGACCCATCCCATCCTCCACAATCAACATCATCATCCACATCCACATCAACTACTACTACCACCACCATTGATAATATCTCGATTCGTATTCATATTTGTTTGTTGATTGATTGATTGATTGATGTATTATGCAGTTGGACTGACTGACTGATTGACAGTCACTGTCGCTTGACTCTTGGTACTTTGATTGATTCAATCCGGAGTACTACAACCTATTTATTCATTAACTGAACACCTATTATATCATTTTAAAATCATATATATTGATGGTTGACCATTGTCACACTCATACATCAATCAATCAAACACATAAATAACAATCAATCAATCAAACACTACACACTCTTTCACACACAATCATGTCCAACCCAATCACCTCATACCACACATCATCAATCAAACACACTCAAATCACTCATACACACACGCCACAACACTACTATTGTTATGATCGCTTGTCGGCATTAGTATTGCTGTTAAGTGCCCTTTCGTCTTCTAAGCATCACCATCGCATTGTGTAAGTGTAAGTATATATTTGTGTTTGTTTGCATTGTGGATGTATGGACAACAAGCAATCAATCAATCAATCAATCAAACAAGACAAGTTGGATGGGATACTTTATAAAGTATAACATGTATATATTTGTATAAACACCCTTCCACATCCACATCCACTTGTCTGTCTGTCTGCCTGTCTGTTGTCTTCCTTCTACACATTGTCAGTTTTAAATTGTTAGCAGTGATTTCCAGTTGATCGTGTTTGGCAACATTCGATCCAGCCATCAAGAAAACACTAACAACCTACTCAACTAATATACACACATGTACGTGTGTAGTTCTCACTTGATACGACGGCCACCCGTTGTACTTTCAACAGACATCCGCAGTCCGTCATACTCATCATTCATTCATTCATTCATTCATTCAATCACACTCTTTTAATTCCCCGCCATCATACTCCCACACCTCATTCATTCATTCACTCAATCAATCAATCAATCATACTCACTCAATCACTCTATTCTACATCATAACATAATAATATAGCTTAAGCATTAACCAACCAGACAATCAAACAAACAAATCCAACCGACCGATTACCTACCCAATCCATCATCATCATCATCATCAGCATCATCACCATTTTTATCAACAATATCATATTCATTCCAGCTCCCCAATAATTATAATTCCCAACATACTTTTAAAAATGGAAAGCATCATCCAGTCAAACTCATTCCATCTGCCTTCAAGGCACATGTTGCCATCATTCAACAACAACAACAACAACAATAATTCTTCCTCCGCCTCCTCAAGAGTGCCTCAAGAGTCCTCCTCGCTCTCCTCATCCACCAGCTCTACACACTCATTCCCATCTTTTATACAACCACAACAACAACAACAATCACAATTCCAGGATATATTGGATGATGACCAAGAGTTCTCAGACAATGAATATGAGAACATGTCACCAAAGGAGGACAATGCAAACTCACCCTCAAAGGTATGTCAAACTCATCCTCAAACTCAAACTTCCCCACACTCACACTAACATACTCAAAAACTTAAAGAAAAGAGCAAGGGGACCCATCCAGAATGGTATAAGACGCTCACCAAACAAATGGACCAAGGAGGAGAATAAGAGACTGTTTGAGCTGGTCAACCTTTATGGAGAGAAGAAGTGGAAGAGGATATCCGCAGAGATGGGCAGCCAGAAGACTGGCGCACAGTGCGCCCAACACTGGAAGCGTGTGCTCTCACCTGATATCCGCAAGGGTCCTTGGGACGAGGACGAGGAGGAGCTGCTCCTGCGCCTGGTCAACCAGCATGGGTCGTCCTGGAAGAAGATCGCCAAGCGCATCTGCAAGCGCACCGATATCCAGTGTCGCTACCAATATCTAAAGGCGCTGCAGTCTCGCGAGGTGCCCTGGATAGCCAAGGAGGACGAGGCCCTGATGAAGAAGGTGCAGGAGCTCGACCAGAGCCTCACCTGGCTCGAGGTGTCCGAGTGTTTGGCCAAGCTCAAGCACACCAACACGCTGAGGACTGCACTCGAATGCAAGACCCGCTACTGCCAGCTCACCCAAGGCTACCAGATGGCCACGCAGGTGGCGCCCGGCGCCAGCGCCAGCATCATGTCCACAGACATCCCATCGCCACTATCCGACTCCCACTCCTACGACTCGAGCACCAGCTCATCGCCCACGCTGATGATGGAGAACAGTGAGTTGTTCAACCGTGACAACAAGCTGCAGCCCATCCAGTATGGACATCAGAACAAGTTGAACATCTCCAACCTCATGAGCCCGACCACCTCGCCCACCTCATCCGCCTCGCACTTCTTCCTTCTTGACAACTCCAACACCAACACCAGCAACAACAACAACAACAGTGG